CAGTGCAGCTGTAACATGATTACACAAACAATAACACTCGTGACTGTGTCGGTTATAAAAAGCCAAACTTGTCTATGAAGCCCAGCCGTGGCACGTTTAAATTTAGCTACTCAGGTTTTCCCACGGAGAAACCACATGCTATGTGGCAACCTAGCCTATTTCAGAAGGTGGGGGGGGGGCAATGAGAAGGAGGGAGAGAGAGTGGGGTGGGTGTGGACCTATACGAACCTCCACTAAACACTTTTTTTTAACAGTGGGCTTAGTCGGTTGCGCTTCTTCCGTGCAGCCCCACCCAGAAAGCTTCACATCCCGTGCAGAGGATGCTCGTCCGCCTGGTTCCACCTCCGGCACCAAGGACAGCTCCTCCGCAGAGCGAGCAGCAACGCCCGCTGCCGTCAGGGGGAATTGCTGCTCTCAGATGTGCTTAGTGAGTCTAATTTAAGATGAAATGCCTTTATTATAGTGAGATTTTTTTGTTTCGCGGGGGAGCCAGTGTGACCAGGCTGCTCACGGAGGCATTGGGCCAAATTAGGAGCGCGCTGCTGAGTCAGCCTCGACTGCTGCATTAATTTATCTGCACTGCAGTGCTCCAGCACCTCCCATCTCCCTTTTCTGGCTCCCTCCTCTTCCCCTCTCTCTCTCTCTTCCTCTCTCTCACAGTCTGCCCTGGTGTATGTGGTAATGCAGCGTTTAGAAGAGAAAGAGCTGGAGGATTGTCAGCGGTAACAAGATTTTGTAAAAATGCATATGCGCACGTAAAAGACCAAAAAACAGGGGAAAAGGGAGGGTGAGTCCGAGGAAGTGCGGGGGAGAAAGAGAGAGGGAGGGAGGGGGATGCTTAAAGTGAAGAGTCCACGTGACTTGGAGGAGCTGGGAACCAGCAAGACGGAATTTTGTAACGTGACAAAAAAAAGGGAAAAAAGAGCAGAGGGAGGTTCTCCACGGAGAACTGGCCATCTTTTCAGTGTGAGGACAACTCAAAGCATCATTTACATAGCCTCCACCTCCACCTGCTCCATACAGTGTTTTCTCTCGTCTGTCTAACTAATGGGAAACACAAACATGATCAATATCCCCCTGGCGTGCCTTTCTCATGCGGTATACTGTGAGGTTGTGGGGTGGAGACTTTGATATCATACCTCTGGGCGATTTACTTTATAGTGGACCACAAATAAGAGCGTCACCGCACAAATGGACTACATAATGATGGGGCTATAGTCCATCTTCTGCCTGCAAGGGGGTGTTGACACGGGCTCTTAACAAACTCAATAAGTCCATTACGTTTGAAAGGCTGCCTTTCAAGAAGCCAGCTCCATTTCACAGGATGCTCTGCGATTCTCCTCCATCCATACCCAGCACCACAAAAGTAAACTACACAAAATGGTGACCACATGAAGTGCACACAGTGAATGTGAAAGGAAGTCAGACATGGCACTCTAGTCAAAAAGAAATAAACGTCTCGTTTAGAAACAACAACAGCACAGGAGGTGTAACTGGAAGGCTGCTTTATTGGTAATAAAAAGGTTCGTGCTCAAATGAAGACAATCTTTCATATATTCTTACCAAGAGTCCAAGTGGTTGTGCAACACACCATCATATTGTACTGTATAACCTCTTTTATCACGGTGTCAAATGATAACAACAGTTTGAAAAGCACTTTTTTAAATTTTTCAGCAAAAAAAAGGAAGAAAAAAAAACGCCCATAATAAACCATGCTTTAAAAAAAAAAAGAATGAGTCCTATAATCAAATATTGATACAAAAATAAATTTCAGATGGAAACAGAAATATATAGAAGAAAGAAAACCAAAATATAGAAGGCAAGCTGCTTTTTCACAAGCCAAGTGGGTGACACACATAGCACTAAGAACAGGACTTTTTTTTTTTGAGTTAGCTGTTTTTCTGTTAACATCACACACTGTTGAATATTAAGATGAAGTGGGGTGTCTGGATCATCCTCTGGCAGTATTTCTAAGCCAACATCCCTGATTAATGTTGTGCTCACCCCCCAAAACCTCCTACCCTCCACAGTTTCGAAATATGTTTTGGTTTCTTTCTCTCTCTCGCTCTCTTTAACATTTTTTTTCAGTGTGGCATTGACATCCAAATTTGCAGAAAAAGCAGAAAAAAGGCACATGCCATAGAGTGGAACACTAGAAAGAAACCATTCAACGAAAATAACGTGAGAATGAGAAGCAAGTACGCGACTCTGTGTGTTGAGCTGCAATGGCACTGATGTGTGGGCATGTGAGGAAAACATTTTTTTAAAAAGTCCCCGTGGTAGGAATTGTCTCAGGGTGCGTGAGGCAGTCAGTCACACCAGCTGACGTCCTTCTTGGAAGAGATCACCGGTGATGTTGGTGGGCAGTGAGGAAAAGTCACCTTCGTGTGTCTGTGACTGTGGGTGCGTCCTGTATACTCTGACCGTGAGAGATATGACAGTTAAGTGAGAAATGTGCTGGTAACATTATCTGTTTGTCATGTTTAGGCTACATCCAGTAACATCGCACATGAGATATTCCCCAACATAGAAGGGTGCTGGAAACAACCAGTTTTAGACATCCACTGAACGTGTTGCACATAAATTAAATGTGACAAACAGTGTTCTTCTGTTTTACGTATATACATATAGACATATATGTATACATGTATATATCTTTTGTATTATATAATATCTATATTTCATTCAATTTCCGTCAACAAAGTGAAAAGTGTCTCAAAAAATCCAAAAGGTAACAAATGTGACAAAGGGCATAGCTGGAAGCCATTCTATATTGTTGTTATTATTCTCTTTTTTTTTCGATTATTAGTAGTAACATTTTTAAAATTCCGTATTTACAAAAAAACACAACAAAGCATGCCGATAAAATAAAAGAATATAATACAATATTTATAGTTTCTCTCAAAAAGTTCATTCTTTTTCAGCGATTGTGCCATTTACATCAGAGCCTGCACTGTACATATATATGTTTTTGTGTTCTTTTTATTTTTTGTCTTTTTTCGTTTTGCTCGTTTTTCTTTGTTTTTCTTTTTTCTTTTTTCAAGTGTGAATGCATCATTCTAAAACATTACATCCAAGATGAGCATGGGTAAATCTGATGACGTTACCTACACCTCCTGTGGTTCTCGTTGGGAATGTATTTGGTTTCAGTGTGCAGCAGCCAAACTGATTCAGAGACCTCATATTGTAAACAGACCTCAGTCATTGTTGTACAGGGGATTCTGGTATAGGCAGTGTTAAACACACCAAATGGCATTAGTGGTGTGATGATGGATGCCGGATTTAAGTCCGGTCATCCACTTATAAATAGGACCATCACTCCTGTGTAGAAAACAAATGGCAGAACACCTATGGAGGCAGTTGCGTCTTGTCTAGAAACAGACAAAGCCTCAGTTTTTTGTCTTTGTTTTTTTTTTTTGTTTGTTTGTTTTTTAATATGAAAAACACCCACAAAGCTTATTATACAACATAACTGCGTCGATGAGAGGCCTGCTGATGTATTTTTTCGGCGAGTGTTAGCCCTCCTAACTCCATTCCTGGCTAATTACTTCTGAAGCAGGTGACAGCGTTTTGAAAGGCTGCAAATATGTGAAAAGATGGTGCGAGTCTGGGTCCAACACCACACAGTGTTTTGAGAGGTCCCACAAAAGCACATTGATACACTGACAAACATGGGACTTTCAGCACTCCGACTCAGACCAAAGCACTACTCTGTTCATCTGCATTCATCTTCTCATGGCAGTCAGTCTTTAACTCTGAAGGGAAGATCTCGAACTATTTATTGGTCCACCGTTATCTGGTGACGCTTATCACACAGCAACCTCCCTGAAATACCAAACAGCATCCATTCAACACTACAGCTGAAAACCTTAAGCCCTATCGCTATCCACCTTACTTATACGCTGGGCGTGTCCTGGTGATAATTCTGCTGCTAACTCTGAGGTATCAGATGGCCAGTGTCATTCCCACTGATAAAAGCCATTAAAAGGACATCAGAGAAGGACTTCAAGGCTTTTTCCTGAAGCTGGCAACTCAACATGTTTGAAAAGCACTGCCTAAGAAATCATTCACTGGGAAATTCTGAATCAGTAAAAGTGTTCAATGTTTTTACCCAAACAATTTTGAGTTCTCCCACTAGCCCTATACACTCACACACACAAAATAAAAGAACCAACGGGAAAGAAAAAACTAAAACCACAACCATATTTCTGTCCCCTCTGCAGGAACTACAGCAGTAAAGGGAACACCAACTGATGCACGAGCACTAGTGCCATATATGGATTCCTTGGCGTGAAACATCACCTCCTCTTGCTGCCCTAATAAGGACCACAGGAAACAACAAAAGTGACTCCATGGTGAGTAAACAAAGAGATGTATGCCCCAGATTTGGCCCTCTAAATCTGTGCAGCCTCAACATGAGGATATTCTGCTTCATAATACTCTTTATTGTTGATAAACATCCAAAGCGGCAAAAAAACGCTTCGACTTCGTGTTGTTGGCTGATCCGACTGAGACTTTGCATCTGAGTACTTACATCTTTCATTCACATTAAAAACAAAAATAATTAGGAGCTGAATCAGAAGATCTGTCAGTTCAAAAAGGAAAACTAGTGAAGGGTGACAGGGATCATAGGAATATCATTCCCCCAATACTCTTTGTTTTCCATCTAAAGTTCTTGTAATTTCCCGCGTGGACAGCCTCTAACTTGTAGTCAAGCCACTGCAGTGGTCTGAGAATTAGTGTCTTGTGGACTATGATTACTCATGCATGATTCCTGGTCAAAACATGCCTTCATGCAAGTCATTTCTATGCATTGAACGAGCACAATAATTATTATTTATCTGGAACTCGGTCTGAGCAAGTCTCCTTCAGCCCAAGTCAAAACGATGACTAATGACCCCTACCCAGTGAGTGTGAAAGCCCATGTAGAAAATGTCTTTTTCAATGTCAGTATAACAAAGAGAAGATGGAAAGACCAGTGACATGGGCTAAATGTTATCTTTTTTTTCTTTCCTTTTTTTTTTTTTTGCTGCTCAAATAATGTAAAGATGCAAGTATACTCGGCACAAACAAACAAAAATCTTTGTCTACGGTTCTGGGTTCCCCCTCCCTCACTAGTGTTTCTTTCAAAGCTAAACTTGCTTGGTTGATCACTGTTTTCTCCTCGATAAAGATGGTAAACTCAGCATTTAAGACCCTCCTTTAGACTGCTAATACAGTTCTCTTGGGATCGGCATGATCCAGTCCCGCAGCAAAGCTCCGGGTTCCACACTCGGTGGTGGCAGGTATTTCGCAATTGTCCAATAATCTTGCAGAGATTTCTGTACCTTGGCAGTTGGTCCCCAAAGAAATAGTGTGCCAATGGCCAGCACACTGTGAGTTACTGTTTTTCAGCATTGTTTTTTTTTAATTCCTCATTTCTATGAGCTTGGTCTCAATGCAGAAAAAGTTCAGCAGTAAACTGATTGTGTTTGGTTCAGCTGTCTTTGACGACATAGGAAACCACATTGCCTCAGCAGTATTTGAATATGTAAACATTTTTTTTTTTTGTTGGGTTTTTTTTTTTTTTGTTATATTTCTCTTGCTTGCAAATGATCATCACTTTTTTGACATTTGTTGGGTTCAGGCTCAGAGTCTCATCTGACTGTGTTTATTGGGTTTTAAGAGTCACTGAATCCTAACACTTGGATTCCCACTCATCTTTTTGGTTTTTGTCCTTCTCTTTCCTGGCCCACTCCTCCTTGTTATCATCCTGTTTCTCCTTTTCGGGTTTGGTCACGCTGTCATAAGACGGCAGAGAGGCTGTGGATGGTGTGCTCTCCTTCTTCTCCTGATTGGTCCCACCGTTCTCCAGCTTATTGTTAGCAAAAATGCGCTTGAAGATGATGCCGCGCCTGATGAGGTGAGCGCGGTAGGCATTCTGGATAGTTCTGGCAGAGACATCCTCCTGTTTGCGGCGGAGGGTGGTGGTGATGGGTTCATACGACACTTTGGAGGGGTTGGCTGCCACGAAACGCTCCTCCATCTGCTGCCTCAGCATGTCCAACTCACCGCTGTCACCCAGCACACGCTTTGTGAAGGCAAACAAGATGTCCAGGCAGTGTATGCGATCGCCACTCACCATGGGCATGTCCATGGCAATTAGTTCTATAGTGTTGGGCTTTGGCACACGAAGTGGGTGCTCCAAAGCATCGGCAAAGTCAGGTAGCTTGGCAAAAGAAATGAACTGAGAGGCAGTGGGATCGAACTTCTCCCAGATCTCATAGAAGGTCTCAAAGTCGTCCTCGCTGAGGGGATCAGCACTTTCCTCTGTAGCCACGCTGAAGTTCTCCAGGATGATGGCGATGTACATGTTAACCACAATCAGGAAAGATATGATGATATACATGACAAAAAAGAAGATCCCCACTGACGGGTTACCACAGTCACCTTTCACTGAAGTCCCAGGGTTCTCCAAGTTGGGATCACAGTCTGGCGGGTAGTTGAGGATCGGCAGTAGCAAGCCATCCCAGCCAGCCGATGTGGTGATCATGAACAGGATGATCATGCTGTTGCCAAAGGTCTCAAAGTTGTACAAGTCATCAATCCCCGCTCCATGTTTTACGTAGCCAAAGTTAGACATGCCAAATATGGAGAAGATGAACATGACGAGGAAGAGCAGTAGGCCAATATTGAAAAGAGCTGGCAGTGACATCATCAAAGCAAAGAGTAAAGTCCGGATGCCCTTTGCTCCTTTGATCAGACGAAGAATACGGCCAATGCGAGCCAACCTGATTACCCTAAACAAGGTCGGTGACACAAAGTACTTCTCAATAAGGTCAGCCAGGAACATACCTGAGAAAAAGGAAAAGGGGAAAAAAGGAAGAAAGGAAGAGAGTATAATCAGTATTTAACTTCTTGAGGTGATATTTCTAAATCATGTGCTCTCTACTTCATCTTTCATGTCTCTCACTCACCAACAATGGACAGGATGACCACCACAACGTCAAAGATATTCCAGCCGTTGGTGAAGTAATAGTGGCGGAGCGCAAAAAGCTTCAGCAAGAACTCCGTGGTAAAGATTACAATAAAGATGAAGTTGACCCAGTAGAGGACGATCTCGGTTTCATCTGACTGATCGTCCGTTTCCACCATCATGGTGACCATGTTGAGGCAGATTAGTATCATGATGGAGATGTCAAAGACTTGCTGCGTCACAAAGTCAAACACCATCCCTTGGATTTTATTCTAAATGGTCAGAGGACAAGGAGATAGACATATAATCAGGTTTTAGCCAAACATGTTATATGCTGAATAAGCTAACACATTTGTCTAATGAAAAAATACTACCTGCGGTCGAGGAATAGGTTTCTGTGGCTTTTTGGATCCCAGTTTTTTCATGGCGTTGTAGTACTTCTTCTGTTCCTCTGTCATGAAGATGTCCTGACCTCCAAAGTAAAGGGACAAAGACAGATTTGGTTATAATCATATCCCAACAAAATGGAAACTCGCTGTACAAAACAGGAAATTAAAATTTTCTTATCTTTTTCTTTTGCTGGTTGAAGTTGTCAATGATCACACCAATGAAGAGGTTCAGGGTAAAGAAGGAGCCAAATATGATGAAGACAACAAAGTAGATGTACATGTAGATATTGACTTCATAGTCAGGCTGTTTCTCCACCTTGCAGAAAGGAAATCATGTGTGAAAGCAGTTTTGTATTTTATTAACACAACATGTAAAGGAACAGTTTAAGACCATCTTGCCAAGAGTTAAAGGAAGAGTTACAATTTAATTCTCCAAATTCACTATCAAGACTGGAAACAAGAAATAGATCGGGTGGCTCCGCCCAAAGGTAATGAAATCTGCCTCTCAGCACTTCTAAATACTAATAATAAACAGTAATTTATTTTATGTAAGAAACATAAAAACTGAAATCATCATTTCATGGAATTGGGCTATTTCCGCTAAAAAGTTATAATTTTTTTGCCACTTTATCACAATTCAGCAGAAGGTTTTTAGCCAAAATGTAACAAATTAAATAAACAAAATGTTGAACTACTTTTTTAAGAGCAATTTGCACACTTGCACAAAGTTATGTATCCCAAATTAGACTCAGACAGATATATAGATATACCTCTCTTGAATCCACAGCTGCATACATAATGTCCATCCACCCTTTGAATGTGGCCTTTTAAAAAGAGAGACATGGTTAAATATTTTTGCATAAACTAAGAAAATTATAAAAAGAAAATTATAAATTGCAATCATGGCAAACCGAAACTGAAGTACATCCTGTGGTACAGCTTGTGCACAGAAAGAAGCGAGTGAACAAAGAAAAAAGGTATATGAAGAGACGAGCCAATATACACCATGAATATGAACAACAGGCATCATAGTACTGTGAAAAGCAAAAAACAAATGGATTGTGAAGTAACAACAGATCTTTAAGTGTAGAACACGAAGAAACACAAAAAATGAAAGTAAATGAGAAAGGGGAAAAAAGGCGGAAGAAAAAGGAAATGGATTCTGTGAGCGACTAGGTGTGATGCTCTCACCACTTGCAGCAGCGCAAGATAGCCGGCGCCCACATTGTCAAAGTTGATTTTGACATTCTTCCACCTGACCTCAGAATAGTTTTGGTTAATGAGTTCGAAGCACTGGGTCTTGTTGTCGACCACGCTGGTGGGAAAATATTCCTCGGATGTCTCATTGAAACAGTAGTAGTACTTGCCCGCAAAGAGATTGACCCCCATGATACTGAAAATCAGCCAAAAGATGAGGCAAACCAGCAACACATTCATAATGGAAGGGATGGCACCCACCAAGGCGTTGACTACCACCTAGACCAGACCAGGGGAGACAGGACATGACAATGTCAGAACCGTAATAACGAACACACATCACTCCACCCCTGTGACGCTACATATTGTTATGGCTTTACAGGTAAAATTCAACCATTTGATACAGGTGTGTTAAGAGGAGCTGTGAAATTCCACTATGGCTTCATGTAGATGAAAACACAGCACTGTGTGGTGCATACTGAAGTGTGGGCAATTACTAAGAAGGAGAGTTGTATCAGTCCCAGCCTAATTAGAGCAGCACTGATGCGACTCTGATATGCTCTTTGATCTGCTGAAGCATGCAGCTAGAGCTGCTTAAGGGACACTCAAGCACACACACACACACACACACACACACACACACACACACACACACACACACACACACACACACACTATAGCTCTATAGTGCCACCCATATAAATACCTTTAAGAGTCGTATGTTTATGATAAAAATGGTACATTTTTAAAAAATAAAAGTCATTTTTATTTTTGATGTTATCATTTTTACTATTTTGCACATGGCTTTCACATGTGATGTGGATGCATTTATTAAAACAAAACCAGATTGTAAGTTAATATCTGCAAGTAATGGTAGCATGTTAATTTGGCTTGACTATTTATACACTACAGTATATTTGGTTCTATTAGGTTGTAAATAGGTAATAAGCATCCGCACACAAACACATGTTCCAAGGCACCAACCTTACAAATATATTTTAGAATTGCATATTTACAGTATAAATGGTACTTAAAAAATAAAAACCAATTTTATTTTTATAATGATCTTTTCTCATATTTAGTACGTGACATGTACATGACTTTCACATGTGATGTCTAGTATTAAACTACCACAGTATGGCAGAAAATGTTATAACAGTTACTATAAATAAAAGTCATTTAATGTCTGTAAGTGACTGTAACATGTTGATCTGGCTTGACTATTTATACACTACAATATATTTGGTTCTGTTAGGTTGTAGATCGGTAATAGGCATCCAAACACAAACACATGTTCTAAGGCACCAACCTTACAAATATATTTAAGAATCGCATATTTACGATATACATGGTACTTTAAAAAAAAAATCACTATAAAAAGCCACTTTTTTAATATGATAGTTTCTATTATTTGGTGCATGGCATGACTTTTACACGTGGAGTATTAAACAACCACATTATGGCAGAATTTTCAATGACAGTTTCTATATTAAAAAACACAAGTTAAGTAAGTTAATTTCTTAAAGTGACTGTTACATTTTAATTAGACTATTTATACACTGCAATATATTTGGTCCTATTAGGTTGTAGGTAGCACTCACAAGCACCCACACATACACATAAACACACTTCCCAAGGTTTATCTCTGTTAAGACTCACAAAATTGCCAAGTGTTCCTGTTATTATTTTACATGTACGTAAATTAATTTTTTATATCAATTTACAAAAAACTAATAAAGATCAAATAATAAAAGAAAAATTTGACAGTTTTGCAAGTGTGAAATACAATTTCCTGAAAAGTTGATTCTGTTCATCTGGACGTAGCGTTTTCATTTGGAGAAATCTTTTGTCACTCATCCAAATGACCTATACAGGTCAAACTTATAAAGAGTACACTCGCATAATGACTGAAACTAGCACCACTGACAAACAATGGGCTGTGAGGTCAATGATCGTTGTTGATCGATGGTCATGACAATATGCATTGATCAAGAAACTGACCTCACAGGCCATTCTTCGCCAGTGGTTCTAGTTTCAGTCGTTGTGCAAATGTACTCTTTATAAGGTTGGGGAAACCTGCAGTTAGCTAAGGCTGAAGAAGTCACTTGGATGAGTGACAAAACATTTCTCCAACTGAAAACGCTACGTCCAGATTAACAGAATCAACTTTTTGGGATTTGCTTACCTGGATGAGCATGCATCAATACAATCTGCAATATTTTTGACTACTTGATGTGTGTAAGTTTACATCAAAGAGCTTTGGTTGTCAGTAAAAAAATTTAAAGTGTTTTAATGCCATAGCATTATGAAGTGTCCCCTATTACCACCCCAACCGTAGACAGTCAATATTTCTAATACAGCTTACTTTTGTTCCCATAACTAGCCCATTAAATAATATAACATTATAGCAGTAATACATTTTTCCCACCACCACCCCAAAATCTAGCAATCAAATCCAATATCCAATGTATTTGTCATTGCCAGTACTAAGCTCAGCACATAGTGAACCGCTCACTACCAGTGTTAGGCAGGCCGACCAGCAGCTCTCAGGCAGACAGCTGAGCATGCATGTCTTTGGCAGACTCGTTTTGTGGAGCCATATTCCCTCCTCATTGCAAACAGATAGGGAGGAGCTCTAGAGCAGGATTCTCTCAGCGTGTGCACGACCTTCACCCGCTGACTTGAGCTGAATCAGCGGGGATGCAAAGGGTACACTATTCAAATATTGTTTTTTATTGTTAAATGCAAACTGATAAAAAACAACAAGAGTTTTTCAAGTAACATTAAAGGACTAAAAGGCATGCAATTCACAAAATACCAGATTTCCCTTCACAGTGGCGCCAATGCACGTGCTGAGAGAATGACTCTTTTTGATTGAGCTAAGAAACAATTTAACCGCTCCCAAAAATTCAATGTTTTGAAAAAAAAAAAAAGAATTAGGCCATGCTGTGTGGAAAGCATTCTCAAAAGAGGGAAAATGGCTTTCAAAAATGCAAAATACATGCGTGTTACATGGCATTGTGCAATCTCAAGAACTGCTCAAATCAATACATAAATAAACAGAGAAGTGTGTGGATAGAGAGATAGCAGCTAAAGAGATCAAGGCTGAAACCATTATGATATGTGGAAAGCATCTACAGCCTAATGTAGCAGAGGTGAACGACCATAGCTTGACCATAGTGTATGCAGGAAATTAATGTCAATGGGGTTCAGAGGTTACATACAAAGACCCCATAACATTTAAGGCTAGAAAAGCTAGAAAAGCTAAATCTGCCAGGTTACTACAACTTCAACTTTAGTGGATTTGTAAAGAAAAAAGGGCATGTACTGAAGCTGCATTCCTGTGAAATGCATTTGTCAAAAAGCTGGAACTGAAATTGCAGGGCAGAATTACGAAAAAAAAAGAGAGCCAAGTACAAGGTCAGAGCCATTGCGTGTTAGGTAGTGCAATGCATTTCACTGTAGCTTCACTGCTCACTCGGATCGGCTCAGTTGCATCAGGACTCAGCCAGTGACTGTTTTTTTAAAAGATGTAATTGTTATAACTCCCCATAATCTCCTGTATTTGGTGTCATCTCTCTATTCATTTGATTCTCTATTCATTTATTTATTGTTTTGACCTCAATTTTTTTTCATTTCCAGTTCAAACAAAATGGTAACTCGATTGATGAACATAGACATTATTGTAAAAAACTGATACAGCAGGATTAAATTCCTCAAGTTTGTTTCCTTTCACATTACTGGGCCACCCTCACCTCTCTTACCACATACTCCCAGTGAATGAGTTAATTCATAGGGGCATTGGTTTTGGCAGCCGTTCACTATATTTAGGCAAATGTGCCAAACCCAAAAATGACAACTTATCTTTGTGCAGCTCAAACTCAAACTGCACAATTAAACCAAAGAAATTTCAGTGAAACGTTTATGACAACATCCATAAAGCCTATCCAGGGCCTAAAAGCGCTGATGTCTGCTCTTGTGCAACGGCATCATATTTTAGTCGCTGGATATGTAGTATGAATGAAATTTCACTACGAGTCAAATTTGAAGATTGAATCCACTTATGGTCAATCTGCCCTTAAAATAACCACCTAGGCCTTTTGTCTTTTATCTGCTGGTCTGTCATTTTTGGGACATGCTTAAGAAGGACGACACATTGTCTGTCTAGGGTTGAGAGTGTTGCTCGAACGCTGTAGTGCTAGCGAACCAACGGGGTACCGTCCACCCAGAACTCAAAGTCAGAGTTTAACTGGGCCTGTTGTTGCCTCCCAGTTTCACTTCCTGTGGGAGTGGAAGGCAACAGAAAGCTAGGGCCTGCTGTATGCGCTACAGAATGCGGTGCCATGACATGACAGCAGTAATGCCTTGTGTGAAATGGCAGCCTAACATATTTGCAAAGCTTCTGCCTGCATTCCCAAAGGAAGGCATTAAGACTCGTTATACATACATTAATATGCACAGTTTTGAGAAGCATTTGCATTAAGAAGCTGCCACCAGAATGAACTGTTAGCAGATCGTTTACTTTAACAGTAGAACTCAAAGTGCTGACACTGGCAGAAGCTTAACAAATACTTTCCTCCCAAAGCCACAGCACTGTGAGTGTGTGGTTTCTGTCTCAGTCCCTGATGCAGAAAGATCCTGGACAAGCAAGAGAGAGTGTGGTGACCCTCCAGCAGTCTGGCCCAGCTGAACCGGGTCGAGGTGGAGTGAGTAGTGAAGGGGTAAGGGTGCGAAGGAAGGGGAGAAGGGGGGAGGAAAGGTGGGTGCTGCACAGTGCCGCATATGTGGGGCTGAGGAAAAGGTGGGGAGAGTCTGAGGTGAAGAGGAGAAGCTCAAACTAGAAGACAAGGCAACCAGTCCCAGTATAAAGAGAGGTAAAGACGAATGAGATCAGGAGACAGAGAGAGTAAGAAAGAGAAAGCGACAGAAGGGACTACGGGTGACAACAACCAGGTGCAACCTACTACTACCGCCAGTCACAAAGATGACCAATCAGATCTTTGTATCATAGGAAGAGACAGCCCAAGCAACCAGAGGTACTGTAGCAGCAAATAATTTCTGCTCTGCAAACTGACTCAGTTTGTTCTTACAAATAAGACACGCTCCTCTGAGCGGTTGTTTGGCAGTCGTCCTGCACACTGAGTTTTTGGTGTGACTGGTTAGGCAGAGATTTTGGTGTCCCGCAGCTCCTCGGTTCCTGCTGGTTGTTCTCGATGCCAGATGCATTGAGGGATGGTGTGAGCTGAGGAAGAGGGGAGGTTATGGGAGCAAGAGGGAGCGGGGCATGTGGAGGGGAGAGGGGTTCTCAATTGAAAGCAGTGGTTGAGAATCAGGCCAAATGAACAGCTAATTGTTGATTTGAATGCTCTATGAGATGGCATGTAAGTCTGGTTAGCTTTGACCAATTTGGCATTCACTTTGGCCAATCAAGAAGAAACAAAGTAAAATGAAGTCATCGGAAATTGCAATTTGTCACTCGTGTGATGAGGCAGCTTTGTGAATAAGATTTCAGTTGCTCTTTGGGCAATTTTAATGATGAAACAAATCAATTTATGCTTTTTTTCTTTTTCTTTTTTTGGTTGCTGTTGTTAAAGAAATTCAATTGAAATACACGTTATTCTACTAGTAATACAACTTTAGTGTTACTTTACTCAATCTCCCAGCTGCATCATGACTTCTTATTTCGCTCTAACAAAGGCATGGTACAGGATTGCGCATGGAAGGGTGACTTTTTGGATTTCATTTCCTGTTCTTTTAAAAAAAACAATCTCCCAATATTTTGGAGGTTTTTTTTAATTTGTTTTGTTTTTTGTTTTTGTTTTTTTGTCTTCTTAGTTTGCTTTTAGATCAGTTCTAGCATGCTTTAAACTGTTGAATGGGCATGCGGAAGGATCAGCTGCTTAGCTTTGGATCTTACCCTCATCCCTTCAAAACGTGACAAGGCTCTGAGGGGTCTCAAGGCCCTTAGTGTCCTGAGTGATTTAATGGGCCCTAGATCGGAGTAGCCCAGCGCATTAGCTACAAGGCTGACTATAGACACCTACACAAAAACAGAGAAGCAAAAGAGGTTCCAAACTGTTAGAAGTGAGAATATTCACTAGGGAAGAGAGACGGCCCTGGTATAGGCGGAGAGTTGCTTGACATACACACATAAATCTATGCATGTATATGCATGTATAATATTGCATTTATACATGTATATACACTGAGAGAGAAGATCAGTGTTTAGTATAGGTTTTATGTGCGTAGTATTTTTAGAAGCAGTAGGCCAGAGGGATTGTTTGTTATTTTTGGGCAGTTGACGAGATGTGAAAAGTCCTTTGTACCTGCAAAGAAATTTGTGGTTGAGAGAGAGAGAGAGGAGGTAGAGACATAAGACTCAAATAGAGGGTCAATTAGACAGAAAAGAGTGCTACATGATCTAGTAAAGATACAAGCGAAGGGACTGGAAGAGCAGAGGAAGAGGATTTGGGGAGGGAGGGAAGGAGAGAGGTTATCCTGTTAAAAACCCAACAGACTTGAGAGCCTTACCCTTGCCCCTCTAACACTGTCTCTCCATGTCGCTCTTGGGCTGAGGCATAAAATCCCATATAATTTAAGACAGACAAACTAACGGAACCTAAGAGAAAGAATACAAGTGAACATGTACAAGTGTGTCATTTTACCATTTTCTTTCTCAGACATCAAATCATATTTGCTACACAGCATTTAGAGTCTAAAGGAGAGCCACAGTCACACGAAACACACACAAGAAACAGGGATGGAGGTTAAGGGCACATCAGATATAGTTATTAGCACTGGATGGCACTGAAAGGACAAAAATACACAGAGTACAGTCGAGTTACACACAGTTAACAATGGTTAACAATAACGGCACACAACCTCAAAGGAACTGGTGAGGGCCCTTATTGTGCCCAGCAGCAGTCAGGAAGAGATCGCCACAGCTGAAGAGCAATTAATCCTCAAGTTAACTAACTACTTCACAAAACTGTGCGCACATGCTCAGCAGTGGTAAATGTACAGAACTCTTATCGTAGCAATAAATCACTGTGAAATTTAGATCATGTCTATACAATTTTACTCTGGTAACAGAATCATTTAAAGCACTGAGTGGTATAGCCATTCTAAGCTAAGCACATAAACAGCATTGTTTTGCTAAGCAAGGAGGAAATGGACTATGGAAAGTGTGGTCAATAAGCTGCACTCACGTTCTTTGAGTGCTCAGAAGTGCAGTATTGACAGCGCCTTGATGAAGTTGCCTTAAAGGCCCTAGCCGCCATTATAGCCTGTCTTCAGCACAGGAAAGCATCGCAAAGATAAAAGGATCGCTTGGATGGATGCACATTTTTCAAGATGGAACCAACGTATCCAGCTGTATAAGAATCTGGCCTTTTTTTGCAGGAATTGTACCCTCAGGAAGTCTTTTCTTTCCATAAATGCAATTTCCGTGATGCTGAAGGGTCTAAAACAGGGGGCGCACCAGTTCCTTACAAATAAGGAAAAATATCAACAGTAAACACATGTGAAAGCACCTCCAACCAGCCACCGACACCAACCGGTCAAACTCACCGCAAGAAGTACACAACATCCAAAGCTTACCAAAATCACGGAGGGAGGTTTATAACAGGCAAAATCTTCATTTTGACTGATGCCATCATCAACACAGACGACATGAGACTTAAAAGTCTATAAAAGCTACAGGAAAAAAACACCAGGAAAAGTATCGGCTTGTATTCAGATTTTCTTCTTACTATATATAAAATGAATAAACCAAAATAAATAGACAGAGAAATTGACATTTCTCCAAGCGCTTACGTTGTGGTACTTACTTTTTAAAAAATCGTTAACCTTGCCTCTTGAATGAATTAGCATCTATACTCAGGGGGAGACAGTAAAATAAAGATTTTGCCTTAGTCTGCACTACAGTGTTTGGGGTAATTGTCACCTTCAGCCTGACCCCTTGGAGAGCCCCCATTTGGGGTGCCTGGCCTCTGGCCCACCTGCTGGGCCAGCTGTGTGGTAGCGGCCTCAGTGTCTCAACGTCCTTCTCAGAGAGCTCTGCAAGGCAAGGCCAATGACATCTGGGGCTGTGATCCCATGATGACGACAGCACAAACCAAACAGAAATAAAACCAACTGAAAACAAAGGGAAAAACACAACAAAACAATGATAATAATCTGAGTGAAAAAGAAAGATGAATGAAGTATGACCCCTGTCACCCTGATGCTCACACACCCCAGTGTCAGTTATCTAGCCTAATTTTACTGTCGTATGATAAACAGATTATTTAAGACAAAAAGGTATATTAATGTGTACTCAAATATTAAACATCTGCTTCTGTGATTTAAGAAAAACGAGTTGAGTAAATGAATGATGACGATGCTGCAGACTGACTTAATGTGGCCGTAATATAATAATAAACACATAATAAAAATACAAAACACATTTTGAATGAAAATCAGTAAAACACAAATCAAATGAAAAACAGAAAGATACATAAGAGGGAAATGAAGAGGGACACACTCATAGAAAGAGCCAAGCACATCCACACTCTTAAAAGTCACAGGCTGGTCTAATGATGGTGCCCTCCCCACCACCACCCCTGCTTTCTGAGTCCATGGCGATGGTTTCACCCAACAACACAGGACGGCAGAGGCACATGGAGGCCATGACACAGCCCAGACTCATCAAGCACAAGTTCTTTGGTTCTTTTTTCTTTTTTCTTTTGTTTATTTCTTTGGAGGGGGAGCGCTAGTGAAGACCAAACTTACCATCGGCTGCCTGTCACCCACCATCATTACATCTCAGCACAATATCACCACATTCCTGAGGTTACACTTTCAAGAGGGAATAAAAGGAGGATGGGGGGAAAGAAGGGAGGAGGGACATCACTTCTCTGAAACATGGTCACAACTTGGGAAACATAGCACCTCACATTGCCCAGAGTGTGTGATGAGACAACACACTTACAGGTAGGGAGTCTAAAGTGGCGAGAACCACAATCAGTATGGCGTGGTATGATTATAATCAATACTATCAATACAAGATCTATGTGAGCTTTATGTGTCAACATTAAACATATCAATAATAAATAGCTTCTGTTGTTTTTCTGAATGCTGTTTTAAACTGTACAAACATGAAATGCTTTGTTTAGGCTTAATGTGGATTTCCTAGAGGATGTGATACATATAATATGCGTGTATTTGCTGTAGGGGGTCTGAATAACACAAGCTTATAATGGCAACCTCTGATACGAGTCCATTCACGGGGGCTGAGGTGTTGGACACTGTGGAGAGGTGGTTAGTTCAAGCAGAAAGTCAGAAGTCAGGAAATTCTTTTTCTATCCTGCTCTGCTACCTGGTGCTGACTAATTCCTGAATCAACATGTAAAATTCAAATCATTCAGGCATCTTACATCCAGATGTTTACCCTTATTTATCCCCCATTAGACTGAATTTGGAAACTCAGAAGCATCTAATATTATCTTATATAAAATTGAAAGCATTGAAATTAGAGCAGACCTGTTATGTTTTCCCTATTTCATAATGATGAAAGCTCATATTGAACATGGCCGAAGTTTCAGAAAATGAGATTATGTGGAAGTAATCCCTGTGACTGCTCTAAACACTCATTTTCAGACCTTTTCTAGTCTTGGCCCAATGTGACTGTAAGCATAGGCACACAGCTCTGGCTGTGAGTACAGCAGCCCCCGCACGCCTACTGTTTATACCTTCTGTTTGTGAGGGGCAGCCAATCGAGAGGAAAATGGCTTTAAGAGGAAAGCAGCACCAAACTGCTAGTTTCAGATGGAAGATAAACTGAAGGGCTGTGTTAGGCCCTGTATAAAAAGAAAAAAAGATTATTCTGTGACTCATGCACAGCTGCTCCATAAGAGTCTAATATTAAAAACGAATGAGTAGGACATTAGGATAAATAGGTCCCCTTTAAATCTTATTTATATGTGTAGCTTCCACAGAATAGACCGGAGAATCATTCCTGTTCTGGACTTTCAGTCTTGAGTGACACGAGGAGCACAGCAGTACACAGAGAGAGAGAGGATAAAGGTCAGAAACACAGGCAGAGACAGCTTAACAAAAACACATCTTTGACACTTCCCATTGCTCTGAGCATGACTTGAATATGATTGTAATCATTACAATAGGTGACTACACACCTATTGTAGTCGTTAGGTGTGCTCTGATTTGATTCTAATTTGAATTGTCATCAATACACCCAAATATCTGTGTGTGACTTCACTTTATTGCATGTGAAAAAAACATGCGGGCAGGTTTGCGGCGCTAAGCGTGAGCAGTTTTTTGTTTGAGAAGCAGAAAATTATTCCACATATTCAAGCATTTCAGTGATAAACCAAGTAAAATATGTGAATAGCTGCTTGATGGAGTGGTAAAATGTGGCTCGGGCATGTGTGCCTTCAATATGGACAGACTCCAGTGCAGCCTTGTAAAACACTGTCCTTGTATAATGGAATTACTGTTAAAAGAGATGCCCGCTCACATGCTGCAATCCATGAAGCAGATATTCAGTTAATACCCTGACCCTACAAACCTAACCACACCCGGTCAACAACAAAAGGGTACAAGCCATACGCTGACCAGTCCGGACATTAAAAAGCAAGCTAGGTGAGGTGAGTAACACTGATCATTCAGGGGGACGGCACTTTGACATATTCCCCTCACCTAAACAGCGTTGCAGATCACATGGTTGTTGCAGCCTGTCGGTTTTAATGTTTTGGCTGGTTGGTGTATATGTTATCTGATACTGATACTGCTGATCAAGAGCCTGCATGAGTTTCTGTTGCACCCTATCGCTGTTGAACCAGGGTGTGGCTGCCGAGCAAGTAACTACTCTAGTCTGCAGCTCACACAGGAGGGAACAAGAGCCAGACTTACATCCACAATGAAGAAGTCCAGCCAGCACCAGGCATTGGTGAAATACTTGACAAAACCATAGGCGACCCACTTCAGCAACATCTCCAGGATAAAAATGTAGGTGAACACCCGGTCAGCATACTCCAAAATGATCCGAATGGTCTTCCTCTGCTCAATGTACACATCCTCGAAGGCCTACGGAGAAACAGGAAACGCATTAGTTACAGAGAGAAGACGGTGACAGAAATATTACACGAGATGATTAACGATGCTTCTAATGAAACTGTATATGGCACCACAGCCCAGCCGACGGCTGAATCCTAACTGTGATTTACAGGAAGAAAGAAAATTGTAAATAAGTCCACAAGAATTATATGTCTGCATCCGACCCGTGCTTTGTATTTGGCACATTTAACAAACTCACCAAATCCCCTGTGTCCTCTCCCATCCCATTTAACCACACCACTGATAGGCTTGTGTTACCTCCTTAATGTCACAAACACTCTGGTTTTGATTTCTATTCATTTTTTATTTTTGCTCCAATTTCCCCCAGTCGCTAAAATATATACTTCACTCATCGGTTCAAGTATGTGGAATCTTGAATTTAACATTTTCTCTTTTTATTCAACTGTACAGTTAGCTTAAGTGTGAGCAAATGCTAACGTAGGCCTCCTTACCAGAGCGCCACTGCTGAGGAGAATCATGAAGATGATGAGCGTCTCAAACCAGTTGTGTTCCACAATCAGGTAGCAGGTTTTTCTCAGGAACCACCAGCTCTTCCCCCATCCCATAGTGATGTCAACATCACAGCATTTATACTTGGCCACGCACGCTGAGGACGCACAGGAGAAGAAACAACAGCAGATGTACTGAGCCAAAACAAGATGGAATGAACCAGCCCTGAGATTCAAGTCTGAGGTTTCAACATGTTTTCCTGGTAAAATCTTAAAAGAGCTTTTACATTTTCAAACTGCAATTCCCACAATGCACGTCTTTGTTTTCATTTTGCCCACCCAAGGAACTTTGCCCAAGTTGAGCCTTCACATGCGGATTTAGATTTATCTAACATAGGGTGCAAACACATTATATTTGTGTTTTTCATTCTTTTAATACATTTGCAAAGAATTTTGAGGTAAAAATGAATTTAATTCACCTCGATGAAGCACAGTGATTACTTTCTGGATGAACTGTAAATAACAAAAATAACCAGCATTTTGTTTTCTTGTTCAATATAAAATGTACCTATAAATGCACTTTAGTTTATTAAAACCTTAGATTTATAGACAGATGGTTAAATAATATTTTATAATAAAGCTCCCCTTCAACCCTGGTGCCCTACAGTTTCCACCCAGCCCCTGGGGAGTCGAGGTAATGGGTGGTGTGGAAGCAGTGGTCTCACCATCTGTCCAACAGGACTCTGGTTCCATGTATTCCTCAACCGTCTCCACCACAACCACCTCCTCCACGTCTGGTTTGATGTCGATGGTGCTGCCCTCCGAAGAACTGGTGTCATCCAGCTAAAGAAAAGCAGACGCATAAACACATTTTGTTAATGTGGTGGTGTCTTGTTTTTTTTATATTTATGTTTTTAATCATAGTTTATTCTATTTGTTTTGGGTTTTTTAAATATTTTCTTTTGTTTTATTTACTTTATTGATCTATTGATTTGATCTCGTTTGCTTTGCAAAGAACTTTGATCAACCTCGTTGCTTTTAAATGTGCTACAGAAATAAAATTCACACTGACATTAAGAAACAGACACATGTGGAAAAACAATCTCACAAGCATAGAAACAAACATACAAAAATGCAAAATACAGAAACTTTTCACGTTTTATTTCGGTACCAAGAAGCGATGGACTCATAATGCCTCTTAGAGCCTGAGGAAATGTTATTTCTAAATTACATCAGCTCTATCTTTAAATGGAAAATCTTTGATCTTTGTTTCTTTTTTTTCTGTGTTTTTTTCTTCATATTGTAATGGACTTCGTAACAACCTTGAACATCACCTATCATCCGTTTGAACACTGAAATGGAATATCAAATGTCAGATAATCTGCTCTGAAAGTCTTCTAAATGCATTTCATCAAAACACATAAGTCAGAGAGCGTCCATTCATCCGCAGTGCCTGCCTGCTCAAGCCAGTCTAGATGGCTCTATTGAGTAATGGGGTTGTATTAGTGTCTGAGCAACATAGAGTGGCCAGCCACACCCAGACTTTCACTGGCATGGGAGAGAAAATGGCACAGTGCTGGATAGCTGAGGATTATACACAACAAAAACAACACGTGGAGCATCAGTTTTTACAAATTGACAATGTAATTAGGAAGCAGTGAAAGGGCCTGAATATCATGGACATATTTCTTTGTATGCCGTTCTTTCTTTCAGTAAAATCTCCCTGAATAAGATATGCAGTCATGTTAAAAAAGAAAGTACACCTTCTTTCATTTTCACAGTTTTATATATCAGGACATGATGGGAAAAATTAGCCGTAACCAGGTTTAATCATTATTTAAATACAACCTGTGATGCATACATATAAAAGATTACAGCATGTCAGTATTTATTTGATACAAACTAAGCAGTCCTGTGAAAAACTAAGTAGACCCCACAATTCAATAGTCATAATAACTTTAAAGCTGAAGTAATTGCTTTCTGAATGACTTCATCAGTCGTTCACGTCGTTGTAATATGAGGCATATCATCTTACATCAGTTCACTGAGGTCTGCATGGGTTCATTTATGCACAGCTCTCTTAAGATCCTGCCTCAGCACTGCAATGCAGTTGAGGTCTGGACTTGAGTGGGCCTTGTTTTGCAGATTTTTCAGCCTTTTGGTTGCAGAGGTGCTGCTATGCTTGAGATCATCGTCCTATTCCATGACCCAATATCACCCAAGCCTTAGCTGTCAGACAGACAGCCGCACATTTTATCCCAGAATACTTCAGTATATGAGTTTATGGTTGATTCAGTGACTGCAAGGAGCCCGGGTCATGTGGTCTTATCTGTCCAATTGTCATTTTGTTTGTTTAGATTTGACTTTGCTAACCTAAGCTGTGTTTCCATGTTCACGTAGAGAGAAAAGGCTTTCTCCTGGCAAACCTTCCAAACCACCATATTTGTTTAGTCTTTTCCCAATTTTAATGCCATAAACTTTAACATTTAACATACATTAGATCTGTAGAGTCTGAGATGTGGCTCTTGGGCTTTATGCAGTTTTAGTATTCCACAGTCTGACCGTGTGTTAAATATGCTGGGAAATCCACTCCTGGCAAGATTAGCAATTCACTTGAATGCTTTCTTACTGTAGGGTTGGATGCAAGGCCTTTGAAATGGCAAATATTCTTCCCAGACTGATGGGCAGCAACAGTTGCTACTCTGAGATCTGTAATGATGTAACGATGATGTCTTTCCCCCTTGAACAAACACCTGAATGCTCCAGACCAGCAAACTCCTGCTGCACCCAGCTGCTGCTTATCCTCTTAATTTCTATGAAAGCAGTAAGGGTGCACTTAGTTTTTCACACAGTGCTTCTGCATTTTGCTTAATCTATGTTAAACAATGGAACAGTTTAATATGTCATGTTTTGTAATCAGGTTGTATGTACTTGATGAACCTGGATCACAGAATTGCAAGAGGACGTGCTTTCTTTTTCATGTGACCCTGTCCTAGCACTCACCTCTTTGCTGTTCTCATTGTCTGACTCGCTGCTGAAGTCCTCTGTGTTGAGGTTCTCAAAGTCGGACTCTCCCACAGCTATTGGTACGCAAACGGTCAGATTCGGGTTGTGGATAAAGGACATGTGGTCTTCGTCGATCATGTACTTGCCCACGCTGCTGCCAATACCACTGGTAGTGCCGTTACCATTTTTGGCATAGTCCAGGTCACGGTTAATGTCCACCCCAGTGTGATTAGCGATACAGTTCAGTTTCTTGTCGTACATGTCTTCCAAAGGCTTCTGCTCATCTTCCATCGGTGGTTTCCTCAGCAGACTGGCCATCAGTAATCGCATCTTGGCTTTTATCCATGCGATGCCTTTCTTGATGCGCATGACAGAAATCTGCAGGTTGTTCGGCTCACCGTCATCATCTGTCGCCGCCAAGTTGTCAGCACTGAATGAGCTCAGCAACAAGGCAAGGAACAGGTTCAAAACCTTTAAAGAGTAAATGAAAAACAAATACATAAAAAGTGGCAGTTTTGAAGGAAGCAGGAGGGAATCCGAGTAACCAACTGCACACTTGTAAGGTAGCACCTTGTGATTTACAAGCCACACCCTAAATCATGCCATGTTCTGATTTAACATTTACTGTATTGAAGATTAAATTACACACTGACATTATGAGCTCTATTAGGTAATGAATCTATGAATAAAGTGAAAAGGGGGGTCTTTTTATAAATAAACTTCTATACGTTCATTTCTTATTTTACAACTGGAGGAGTCGCCCCCTGCTGGTCAAGTGATAGCATGCGGGTCTTCCACATTGGGTTCCCCCATTACATACAGTGTAATATGCTATGAATATCAAATATTCCATACACATTGTTTCTTCCTGTTTTACTTGTGATGCTAATGAACTTTTTTTAAATTCATATACGTGTGAAAAAGAAAAAAGGAAACAAGTAATCGGATGTTGTTGCTAAATTCTCAATTTCTGACCGCATTACATTAGAGAGCTAAAAGGGGCATTTTTTCATTGGGCACCTTGAATTCCATTATTTCCATTGATTAACTTTAGTCAGTGAGATAACTGTGATTCAAGTGGGCGGTACAAATAAATCCAATAAAGCAAAAATGGAAGAAAAGTTGATGTCATATGTCGCAGTCATAGACCTTATTTATGGTCCAAACGCTATGAATTATGCAACAGTGATGTGAGTTTGTATTGGGATCCTGAGCGGAAAGCCCTGTCTAAGTAGACTTACGTGTGTTTTAACAGTCACACAGCTAGTTATTGGCAGTGAAAGTCATGTGTAAAAGGTTTAGGCTTGTTGTCTTCCTCCCCTGTAACTCTACAGAGCTTCTAAACCTTCATCATTAAAGTAACAAAGAATAGAATAGAAGTGCAGTTTTCATACCAAACACTTTACTGAATTCTGCCTGAAGTTTTGAAACGTCCACTCGCTTTGCTCTACCTTCTGGACGTCTCTCAAACTGTGTCAAGAACAGTGCACCTGAGTCCTGTGTGAACTCCCATTAACAGTTTCCAGCTAACAACATGGGACACTCACCACCAGGTTACCGATGACCATGACCATCATGAAGACGATTAGGCACATGGCCTGGCCGGCCACCTCCATGCAGTCCCACATGGTCTCGATCCACTCACCACACAGGACACGAAAGACGATCAGGAAGGAGTGGAAGAAGTCATTCATGTGCCAGCGGGGCAGCTCACATTCAGCAGAGATCTTACACACACAGTCTTTGTAATTCTTCCCAAACAGCTGCATGCCCACCACAGCAAAGATAAAGACTATGATGGCCAGCACCAGAGTCAGATTTCCCAAGGCTCCCACTGAGTTACCAATGATCTTGATCAGCATGTTGAGAGTGGGCCACGACTTGGCCAGCTTAAACACTCTGAGCTGAAGTGGGAGGAAAGAGTAGGAGGATTATGTTTTAGTCATAACATCCCATCTTTACGAACTTGTTGCTTCGATTCAGCAGAGTACAAATAGCATAAATATACAGCAATGTTTAAATAAACACAGATTTTACTTTTGCCTTGTTTGCCTCAGATGCAGTACCAGTGCAGAGCCGGTTTTGTCTTCGTGCTTATCGAAAAACAACCCACTTTCTGACAGGTTTGAGAACCTGTTTGAGATCTGCCAGCCTGGTTTATCTTGCAGTAACTCCTAAAATATCCACATCAGTGGTTCCGACTTCTACAGAGAATTTGCGATGCTGTGAGTTTTTGACACATACGCCAGTTTTTGGGAGGTTTTTTTGTTTTTGTTTTTTTGGAAGAGTTAAATATGTGCAAACAGCTCTAGATTAAACACTGACACTGCATCAGTGGAGAAGTATTGTTCGATGTGCAGAATGTGCATGATAACACACAACAACATGATGCAATGATACAATCTCAACTCTACTTTTCTAGGCAAAGATAGATATTTACCAATCGGAATGACCGCAGGACTGAGAGGCCCTCAACGTCAGCCAGAGCAAGCTCCACTAAGCTCAGAGTCACAATGAATCCATCGAAACAGTTCCAGGCCTCCTGAAAGTAGTAGTACGGATCCATAGCTACAAGCTTGAAAAGCATCTCTCCTGCGAAGATCCCCGTGAAAACCTGACATGCGAGAAGGAGGACAAATTTAACTTGGCTTCTAAACATATATAACAGAATGTAAAGCATAATGAGTAGTAAAAGAACCGACATATTGGTTCTGCAGAAAAATGCATTAGGTTAGTACTCTCAGCTACTGCAATTGAACTTAAACACAAATAGATTATTTACAGAGGAAGCACATCTAGTTAATGTCCGTGCATGTGTCAGCTGCTCTGCAGTCACTGAGGATAAGACGGCACTTGTTTGTTCTCATCTTTAATAGATCACTGATGGCTGCCTTCAATCACACAGACCACATAGCGAACATACAGTCATGTAGGCCATACATGTTTTTGGACAATGACACTTATTCTGTCATTTTGCCTCAGCACAACCACCACAGTAAATTTTAAATAAAACAACAAAGATGTGACTGAAGTGTAGACTTTCAGCTTTAGATCAAATATTGCTTTTTAAGAAATGACAGATATCTTTATGTTTATAGTCCCCTGTTTTCAGAGATTTCAAATTAATTGGATTTAGTCTATAAATCATGGATATGACCAAATGCTGTGTTTTCTCTCTTCAGATGTTCTGTTAGACCAGGTGGGTTTGTGGCTCTTTCTGCATTATTTTTTTCCTTTGATTTATTGGGCTGAGATCTGGTTACTGATTTGACTGAAGAATATCCCATTTCTTTGCTTTGAGAAACTCTTGCTTTATCGGTTTACACGCTGAAGTGCTGCCTGATCAGTTCTGCAACATTTCAGAATTCAGCATGCGACTTCTATCTGCAGTCGCATCATCAACAAACACTAGTGACCCAGTTCCACTAACAACCGTGCATGCTTATGCCATAACACTGCCTCCACCATGTTTGACAGGTTGTGTAGCATACTTCAGATCATGAGGTGTTTCTCTCCTGCACTCAGTTTATTTGTCAAAACAATAAAATAAAATTCTGAACTCTTAGACGTTTTCTGGCATCTTTCCTTCCTGGTCCCGAGTGTAACCTGTGGTTTACACCTTGCTGTGAACTCTCTGTATTCCCCTTCATGAAGACTTGGGTTGATTGTAGACCTCAAGTGTGATACACATGCTACCTCGAGAGTTTTTGTTTTAATTGAAATAAACGTTGTGAAGTTGTTTTTAATCATGGAAATAATTCTGTCATCATGCACTTCGGTTATCTTCTGTGGTCTTTTGGTGTTGCTGAGTTGACACTGCATTCATTCTTACTAGATTTTTATGGGTTGTTTTCTTTCACAAACATCAGCCTCATACTGAGGATAACAGCAAACAGCTACAAAATGCAAGTTCAACACTTGGAATCAACTCCTGATCTTGTGTGTGCTTAATTCAAATAATCATACATAGCGAGGGAACAAGCCTCATGCGGCCATGAAATTATTTGCCACATAGTTGTCCAATTACTTTTGAGCTGTGTATAAAAATGTAATTCCTGAACAGTTAATGTAGTTCTTTAGTCAAACCCCTTGAATTAAAGCTGAAAGTCTGCACTTCCATGACATCTTGATTCTCTGAATTTAATCCACTCGGGTGGTATGAACTCGAACTCAAATCGACCTGTATACACCCTCGTGAGTTTGTCAGACTGCGTGTTCATTGGCGCGCAGGATGATGACTCATATTGCATCAAGGTGACCTAGAAACCTCCACCTGTACCACCCATTAGTCTTTTCAACTAGATTTTTATGAACCACAACTGGAAAGAACACATTTCACTGCTTTTTCAATTGTAAATTAATACGAAACAGACATACACACAAAACTGTATATAAAAGAGCGTACAACAATATGTGTTAACTTATGTGAAATGGTGCCAGTACTCTGATTTACTCCGTTTCTTAAAGAAAAACAAAGCTTTAAATGAAAACAACCAGGTCTCAGAAATTATTTAGGCACCATTTTAGAAGAGCTCTTCGATCAGCCTTCATGAATTATTAACACCGCCCTCCAACCAGTCAGCCAACCAGCAGAGAAGCAGGTGCATCCACTGAACCAGAGTACAGCGAGAGAGACGGGAGAAGAAGAATGGAACATGTGTGTGCATGTATGTAAAGAAAAATCCACGAATACTAGGAAGCAGCGGGGGGTTTGGGAATGTTTTTTTTCCCTGTCAATTACAGTCCCATAAATAACACCTTTCTGTGAGCTACTGAGAAGAAGCAGAGAAGATCATTTACAAGAATACCAGATAAAAATAACAACAAAAATCCACTCACCAGATTTCCTACAGACAGCATATCTTCAAAGTCAGGGGTCATGGGGTAATGCTCCATAGCCATGAAGAGGGTGTTTAGGACGATACAGATGGTGATGGCCAGGTCCACAAAGGGATCCATGACTATAAGGTTCACAATCTCCTTGATCTTAATCCACTTGGGGCTGCACTCCCAGATCAGGAATGTGTTAGCAAACTTATACCAGCATGGGGGACACTTGCGCTGAGACTCCTCCAGTTCTGAAGACATAGCGCGGATCATACATCAAAACCAAACATACTTGCGTGCTCAGCAAACTGCATGCAATGGTATAATAGGATAGAAAAAAATTTTATGCAATGTATGTATCTGGTACTTTTGAATATGCAAAGCAGATAAGCAGGAAATTCATGTCAAACTAATCAAACAATGAAGAGCAGCCCTAGTTAAAGAATAATGAGAGAGCAGGTTAAATAGCTGGGTTAAAGTGGCAGTACCCTCCACTAGTGTGTTGGTAATGACGCTCATGACACTGTTGGCCCGCTCTTTCCGCCCAAAGGAGGTATTGAGCTGGTCCACAGACACCATCAGGGAGCCCGACAGCTTCTTCTTCACCTCAACCTCAGTAGTCGGCTGTCAGGAGGAGAGGAAGAATCAAGCACCCATGGAGAGGACATGAACACCATCCCACATCACCACCGGTGGCCGGCGGAGGGAAGTGCACGACAGCAACGGCAGGAAAAAGTAGTCGAGGATCAGAATTTTGGGGGTGGGGGGCAGGGCACGTTTCATTCTCCTCTACTTGTATGCTGGTTTCAAGGAAGATGTGTGTATGCTGTAAATGCATGCAGGTTTCAGCCAAAGTGGGAGCAGTGGTCTAGGGCTACTTGACCTAATTGTGTTTGAATGTAATTAGCTCATCCCAATTAGATAAAAAATGGATTGTGAGACACTGTGCGAGGAGAACTGCTTCTGCATGAATGCATTCTCAGTCCCGTCATGCAATAATGGAGGCTTTGCTGCCATTGCAATATAATCATGAGGTTATTTTACAAAATGTCTCCCAAATCTGGCCATTTTTAACACAAACTTGCAAATTGATGCTACTGTATCTTCCTATTTTGAAACCATACAACTTATATTGCAACCATCAAGTCAAGAGCATTGTAAATAGGTCATATGAAGGCAGGTAGTTCAAATTCATCCAGTTGTCATGCATGAGCATGCTCCAAGTCAAAGAGAAGGAGAGGAAATAACAGACATCATAACCAAAGTTTGGTTTGTCTACATCATGCTTGTTCTAATTTGGGGTTTAAATCTACCATGCTAACTAGAATGACGCACAACTAATTTGCTAATGCTGACCAGGGAGAGACTGGAAAACATAGAAAGGTATAGACAGACAAGGACAGCAGCCCTCCTTCATTTCTTAAAGTATTTTTCGAAAGCCTAATAGGATGGTGTGTATATATTTATACATATATATTTATGTAGATAGCTAGATACATATACTCTGGGATGGAATCAGGGAATTAGGGAAGCAGATAAAATTGTCTGTGGCTCTATAAAGCTGGTCCCCTCTGTTTCCTCCGGCTTCTATTGCAGATCTACCCACACAGGCTAGCAGAGGACCCGGATGCCTGGAGGAACACATCAACACACTGGAGCATGTTAACCAATCATTATATGCCATTTGTTAACAAAAACTGTGTTTCATTACTGCTAGTGTGTGAACGGGAACTTAAAACACAAAACTGTGTGTTACTTCTTTCTCTGATCTGTACACTAACGGGTCAGTGAGCAGCTGAATGATTTTGAGTGCAGGTACTTTATGAGTTATAAGTTTGATGCTGACATATTCAAAACATTAACAGTCATCATTCATTTCAAACAGTAAAATTGCCTGGAAGTCACTGATAGACCAAGTATGAAGCTAACTTGTGAAAGGTTGGTTTAAGTATAAATGCTATAATCACGTTTATTTTCCCATCCTTTGCCTACAGTTGGAGGGCAGCATACACTGCAGGGGCTGGGGGAGGGGAGGCGCGAGTGCTTAGCCAAGAGATACATACGGACTTGCAAAGATGACAGTAGAGGATAGAGAGCCAGAAAGAAACGTAACGGACGAGAGGGGGGCCATGCCTAGATAGGTCTACTCATTGACTTCCTTACACTTTCGTCAGTAGCTGCCTTATCTATTTTCACCTCAGGCAGAAGGCGTCCACCGGGCCCGGGGCCAATGAGCGACACCACGCCGTTGCAGTCCACCGTGCTGTTCCTCTTGCCATGGAAGCCAGTGTAGCTGCTCCGCCGGTACGGGCTGAACAGGGAGCCTCGCCGCTCCTCGCACTCCTCGACGGTGCTGTGCTCATCGTCGGCGAATTCGTTCTCCGAGCCCACGTCCTTGCTGCGGCCCTTAAAACTGAAGATGCTGCTCTTGCTGTTGTGGCGTGAGAGGAAGGGTGAGCCCGGTATACTCAGGAGAGACTGGAGGAAGGAAATAGAAAAAGGATGAGAAGAGGAGATATTTGTGTGACGGAGCCCTGGGCCCTTCTGGGCCCATCAACTCCAGAGGACAAGATGAAAGCCAACATCTGTGGGAAATTTAATGCAGCAAGGGCTCCTTCCCACGAGGAGCCATATTCTTCTGACTAAATAAACAAGAACTAGATAATTAGGTTAGTGATATGCTTCAGTGTCAAGGTCACACACACACAGGACAGAGATACAGGCGTCTGAGACAAGTGCAATCTGAACATGAGTCACGACAGCAACAATCTGGAATGTAGCTAGCATTGATCCAGCTATTTTTTTTAGCTCTACACAAAGTATGCTAGCTCACGGGAAATCAAATGTTTTGACAATAGCCCTCTGGTTGTGTAGAAGATGAGTGAAAAGCGCAAAGGATCCATTGCATGTCACATGAAGGATTTTCACAGAAAAGCGTTACATAAGGCCCGTAGGCCTCGTTAACTCGTCAGCTGAATACTTCTCCATAGAACACAAAAAAATTAAAAGTCAGCGAAGCTCGAGCACGGTCTAAGCACAGCAGCAGGACTGCTCCCTGTTACAGATTTGTGTAAATAATTCTGAAAATGAGGCCTCATACATCAACGTTGGGTACACACAAAAACAGGCAAAAATGAGGCGCACACTACTTCCAGCACAAAAGTTGATATCCAGAACAAGTGGCCAGGAAAATGCGAGCATCTCTGTGGAACCGTTGACCTATGAGACGTGTGCAAGAAAGAGGAAATGGAAGCTGATGGTGAGGTGGTCAATGAGAGGAATCTTTTTATCTGTAATGATGCAGATAGACCGGTTCTTATATCACACCTATCTATTCTATCTGAACACTCCAATACGACATGCCTCAATCATCCACTGACACAAACACTTTCTATCTAACCACACAGTTATAAGCCGATGTATCCACTGGCGAACTCAGGATGAGCATCTTACCCATGCACACTGGAGAAGCAAGGAATCGAACCATCAAACTAACAGATGACCTGCATTACCTCCTAAGCTGAAGCAACCACAATTGTTAGTCTGACTTCATGATGCACTTTTTCACTAACACACATATTAACTTCAATGAAGTGATCCAAGTATTTAGCAGTGTTATTTTAAGTTGTTCTGTGAGCGCCCTTAAGTTGCAGCTGTAACTAAAATCTCTAAACTAAAAACTTCGCTCACAGAAGACTGAGCCAAACTGTTAAAGGACGTCTGGCTTCCTTTCATTGATAGTTTTACCTCCCATTAATCAGACTACCAGATTTTCATGAATGTCATTGCTTGTCGAGATCTAAGACAGATGATACAAAATTAGAGAACCGCAGAAGAGTCAGTAGTCCACCGTATCACCAAGTTAGTGAGTGCCATAAAGCCTCCTCCGGTTGTCTCATTTATTGACTACATAAATTTGTTGTCTGTGAATAAAGCCGATGCGTACCCTCACCAGAGCCTCAATCATACTGCAGGCCAAGTTCAGACAAGAAAAGATCAATTTCTACCCTTAAATGACATCCTCAGGCAAGTGGTATCACAATCATTTTGACAAGCTTTAAATCAGTCAGCTTGATTCCTGTAAAACAAATAAATGCTGCTGCGACACATAGAGCTGCAATGAATGCTCAGGTAATCCCAGAGGAATGTTTGACTGGAAAACCAAGCAATTAGTAAAAAAAAAAAAGTAAAATTGTATTTATATAGCACCTATCAAGATAACAATCACTAAGTGCGCCACAGAAGCTAAAACATAAAAATAAAAATCAACCAAAAGCAAGTTTAAAAAGATGATTTTTTAGCTGTTTTTTAAAAGCGACCACTGGGTCCACAGATCTCAGGCTCAAAGGGAGAGAGTTCCACAGTTTGGGGGCCACAGTTACAAAAGCTCTGTCGCCTCGTGTGTTTGACAACCAGCAAGCCCTGGTCACATGACCTCAGGGACCTGCTGGGAATGTATGGATGCAAATCACAAATAAATAAGGTCGCTCATTTCTGATTTAGTCAATTATAAGGCCCTTTGCATCAACCATTTATAGTAGAATTTGCACACTATCTATGCCTAGTCTTAACCCCCACTGAGGCCCCTGGACATGTGCTTCACTACACACTGCTCTGTAAGTGCAATCTTATATTTCACACACTGAAAATGAAAAGTAGTAAGAATGCCGTCCCTGCAGCCATGTGACTTACTGACGTCTATATTCTATTCATAGACATGAAAAGGTATCTGTTCTAATTCTGTGTGTTGTTTGAGTTTCATTTGGTCTCATTTTGGCACAAAAGGCCTCATACAGCTTTACGCTAGCCATGTAGATATTTTCTTATATGTTGGTGATTTTAGATTTTCTTTTTCCTGCAAGACTTCTAGTACCATCCCCAACATGTGTGAAAAAATCTACATCACAGCATGATCATGAGTGAAATACTCATCCCCAGAGAAGAGTTTGTCAAATTCAGTGTTTTTATTCTTGAGCTGCAAATTCTGTTTATCGTGTAAAATTACTAACAGTTTATATCTTGTTATAATTTAGCTTAAATTTTCCTTTCAATCAAAATGTCAGCATCTGATCATTGCTAACAAAAGGGAATATCTTCCTCACCTGGTTCATGATGGAAGACTTTCGGCCCAGGCGGTTATCGGGGAATCTGAAGCGGCTCCTTTTGCTGCCATCGTCCGACTCTGACTTGACAAACTTCTCGCTGTCGCCTTTCTCCTTCTCCTGCTCCTTCTGCCGCCACTTCTTCTTACGGTTGCGGCGCTCTTTAGCGCTCTTGGAGCTGAGCTTCGACATCTCGGACGAACTGCAGGAAAGACGCCCTCCTCCATCGTCTTCAACCGCATCCTCCGACACTGTGCCTGCAGAGGTTGCCATTGCAGCCGTCTACCGAGAAACGAGCACGCGAGTGAAGTCAGAACAATATTTTGACACAATCCATGAAAAAGTTTTGCCTTCAACTTGCAGAGGACTCACCTGAGCATCTTCTTGCTGCTTCTTTAGCTGCTCCAGCATCGCCTTGAATTCTTCTTCCTTCTGCGCGGCCTCTTCCATGGTGGCCTGATTCTGCTCCTCATAGGCCATGGCTACCACAGCCAAGATCAGATTCACCAAGTAGAAAGAACCCACAAAGATCACCAAGACAAAGAAAATCATGTAGGTCTTCCCTGCCGCCCTGAGGGTCTGTTAGGAGGCAGTGCCACAGAGGTCCGGGGAGAGAGAGGAAGAAAACAGCAGACCCGTGAGATCTGATACATGACTTCAACGCCACAATCAACGTCAGCCTCACTGCTCATCTCTTAATATGACTCATCAGAAAGAAATAGAAGACGTACACTGGTCTGAGCATTCCTGGGGGCAAAAATGAATGCAAGCCTCAAGTGAGGAGGGTAAATGTCTCTCACCTTCTGAGGACAGAAGAGTCAAATCTTAACTTAAAACAGCTCACACGATTTCATTTGTCTGTTTCTGATGTGAAAATAATGTGTGGAAATAAATTGAGTAAATGATTTTATACTTTGTGCTCATTAAAACCCTCCATGTGAGACTGTATTGTTCATCAGAAAGAACTGACCTACTTTGCACGCTCACTGTGAATAGCCAAACTATTTCTACAGATTTGGACGCTATGCCCACTGGAGATGAGAAGTGAGGAGACTGAGCAGCAGAGGTACAGCTGAACAGATGAACACACAAAGGAGAAAGCTCATTGGTGTCACTTTGTCTTCATGCTAACATACAATTGTTAAAGTCATTCTCGCGCTGTTATATTTTTAGGTTTAGATAAACCAGCAAACGAATAGTCATCATGAAAGGCTCCCAAATTTGACTAAAAATGTTCTCGCTCATGCACCTCATCAAAAAATGAAATACGTCTTCAGGCAGCAAAAAGGAGAGAAAAAGGACTCTAGCAGGTAGAGAAGTGAAATATCCTCACCCATCAATTATGCATGCAGTTGACGTGATGCTGAGAAGTGCGTGCAGGACATTTGGCTCAAACGTTCTATTTTAGTGGCACAAAACTAAATCTTACATATATAATAAAATGCTCAGTACTGAGAAACAAATATGATCCATAGGAAGGCGTTTTATTACTTAATGTCCTTACACCAAACCAAAAGCGGCTACGTAATGATTATTCTACACATACGGCGTACAGTATGAGCGAGAGCCTGCAGTTGGAAGCTGAATTTCAAAGATGAGAGCGAAAATAGAAATATGTGCCAGGATGCTCTCATCAGGTCTCATCGCTCTCATTGGTCATACTGTAATCCTCAGCCCTTAATATTTCATGCTTCCTTCCTTCCACTTGTACGTGGAGGCAGGGCTGTCTCCACCATTTCAGGGAAGCTTAATGTGGAACAGCCTGCAAGACAGACCAGATGGCGGTGACGGGGCCACAGTATCCACATGAGACTGAGAACAGGGGATAAACTTGGAGGTGAACTAGAGCTGAATGCAGAAGCCACCACCAGTTTTTGAATAATGTAATTTGAATAATTACAGGATGTTTGGTACACAATTTTTTATTGGCATTTGTGCTGCAGTGTAGTAAAATCACTAGACAGCTGATAACCACCTCCACCATGCGATTGGTTTGTCTGTCAACTGGATCGCTTAAAAAATGTTTTTGCAAAATTGGACATGTGAGGTCACATTTTTATCCAAAATCAGTTCATTCACCGTTTGAGGCGAGTTTTTCAGCTTTAGTGGTGCAGTTGAAGACTGCTGTCATCAGGCACCAGTTTAGCTCACTGGTTGAGCAGGTGCCCACACACACAGCTGAACATATATATTTACTAGGTATGTGTGTTTTTAAAGGGATGCCAAATGCTGTCATTTTTCTGTAAAGCAAATTTACCTTGCCTTTGGGTATAAATAAAGTTACCTTGACCTTGACCTTGACTGCTGTATTTCTTCCTCTCTTCCTGTCTAATCTTCACCAGTGAACTAACCAGTAAAGGCAAAAGAAATCTTTAAAAAGCTGCTGTCACTAATAATGGATGAGAAACAAACCATCCATCGCACCATCCTTTTTTAATCATTTCATTGATTTATCCAGTTAAGGGTTGTACTATTGGGGGCGGAGCCTATCCCAGCTGTCACATGGCAAGAGGTGTGATACACTCTGGGCAGGCTGCCACTCTATTGCACTTCAGGCTAGCATTATTTATTTATCTATGCTTTTGGTGACTTTGTTTGAATTATAATATATGTTCATCAAAATTAACACCTTTGAAGCCTCGATAAAATCTGTCCAAAGGCCAAATATCAATCAGATTTCAGCACTGAGGGCTGTTACATGGTGAAACAAGCTGAAGGTGTGGACACATCTGCTTTACCAGCATGTAAAGGTTCTCCCAGAAGTCCTGTGTCATGAGTCGGAAGAGAGCCAGGAAGGCCCAGCCGAAGCTGTCAAAGCTGGTGTAGCCGTAGTTTGGATTCCTCCCAGCTTTCATGCATGTGTAGCCCTCCGGGCAGCGGCTGAGGGGTGGAGAGAGAGCGAGAGAGACACACATAGAGACAGAACAGGGCATTCAGCCCAAAAATGAGTCAGCACTATTTACTGATAATGTAGTCTGACTATAAGCACACAGAGGAGCTACAGCAAATCTTGGTACTCTTTTTGAAGGGTGGAGAAGGCAACTCACCCAGAGTCTGAGCTGTTCCCACAGAGCAGAGCGTCCAACTGGCCAGGCAGGAAGTAGAAGTTGGCTGAGAGGGGGAAAAAAGCAAGAAAGAAAAACTGCCAAACTGAGTCATTTCGCTCACATTCTGTCGAGATTTACTAAATTTACTCCATTCAGCGCATTTCTGACTCCAGCTCACTCAGAAATTTTGACTTCAGTTCATTTGAAACAAATTCCTTTAAGTGCCAAAACGACATATTGTTTCCCCATTCAAGCATATGGGTTGACTCATACTCTGACCTCCGTGCCAGGTCACCGTTGGTGACGCCTTGACTCTACTTACTGTCGTTCGTGATGTATTCGTCCCAGTCAAAGCCCTTACTGCCATTGGCTAGGTAACTCTCGTTGGTGTTGATTGGCCAGAACACACACTTGTGGCGCAGGTTACCCATGAAGAGCTGGAGACCAATGAGGGCAAAGACGCTCAAACAGAAGACGGTCAGGATCATCACATCCGAAAGCTTCTTCACAGATTGGATCAGGGCACCCACAATGGTCTTCAGGCCTGCAGGCCAGCCACAATCACACATGCGCACGCACACAAACACACACACACACACACACACATTCACAAACCACACAGGTGATGCAGGAGCTCCTCATGTCCCATGTGTTAATCTCTGGAGTGTCAGCTGCTACTAGAGCTCATCTTTTTAAATTTGTCACTGGGACGAAGCCCGTAAATCCCCGCATCTTAAGATGTTCATAAAAATCTGGCTGAGACTACATTTGAAAACCTTCCCACTGAATTTAATTATAAATAGAAATAATAGATGTATTGTCATCGACTTGAATATACAACTAAATGTTCATTTTTAACTAAATTCAACATCAAAACAAAAGGGATCATTTTATAAATAAAAATCTGAACTGGTAAAATACTATAAATTTTAGATATGGGTAGTAATACATTTTGGACAAAACTGGGAGTTTACATACAGAACATCTCTAGAAACAACAAACAGGAAATATTCAGGAGCCTTCCCACTCTTTTCAGATTATTGCAACAGATCTCAAATCCAAATAATGGGCTCTTCAACAGAAGAAATTAGCATTTCATTGCCAATGACGGATGAAGTAAAAAAGAGGGGGAAGACTTTCTATAAGTGAGAGGAAATCCATAAGGAAAAGAGCACAGCAGCACAACGAGAGGCCATGAGAGGGACAGAGGCACAGGCAGGGGGGCATTAAACCACATGCAGGTCATTTAAACTCCAAGGCTGAACAGAAGCAATTCAATGCCAGTGCCGGTGTGGGCACTTTCTTGAACTGTCTTGTGTAAGGTGTCATTAGGAAAGCACTGACTCCCCATACCGCGACCCTGTAGTCTGTCTCATCCACTAAAGACAAAATCGCTTTAACTTCCAGACCAGCCTCCTCTGGCAGCATTCGCACAGATCCACGAGGAACTCAAAGATGGAGGCAGGATCGCCCACGCCCCATTTTTACTGTTCACCCACTACACGTACAGCAGGCTTGACCTGCTACAAGCTTTCGATAAATTATGATCTTAATTTAGACTTTCAAATAATCTTACTAAAAGCTCCGTCAAACCAGACATGTAAGGAGCTGCTCGTGTTTAAAGGGACCTATTATAATTTCTTTATTTCCTCATGTGCTGTTACAGCAGCTGATGTTCATGCTATGTAAGAGCAAAAACCTCAGGCTTAAAGCAGGTAAATGCTCCGTTTCTGGCAGTTTTTTTCAAGGATTTCAAGATATCTAAATGCACAGAAGCTCCACCCACCTTTTGTTTGCAAAGGACAGCCAATCAAAAGAAAGCTTGTATAACGGGGGGAATGCAACAGCTTGATGCATTCGGGGGTCGCACAAAGCCCCAGCATAATCTAAAAAAGCAGTAAAGACTTAAACTAGAACTCAGAGTCCAACAATTAAAGCGTGGAGCTAGAAATAAGCATAGCAGGTCCACTTTAAATCACCATACATCTTATTTACAAGCACATGAAAAAAATTATCAAATCAAACTAACAGATCTATGTTTCCCTGGAAAAAGCCCTCCCATTCACATGGATTACTGTTTGCTTTATTAAACAAATCTATAAAAATCAATAAAAGCTCCAATTTCATTACTTCTGTACCAGCATTTTAACAGAGAGTCCAGAATTTTGGGGAAATATGTTATTAATTTTGTGGCTGAACGCTACATTAGAAGATCAATACATCCTACCAACCAGTGTTTCGTCAGATTTTAAAAAAGCAGATACGATGTGTTAAATAAGGATGTTTGGAGCTGCTTTTAGGTGGCTGCTGTCTTTGGACAGAGCCAGGAAGTCTGTTTGCAGTCTTTAAGTTAACCAGATGCTCGCAGTAACTTTAGGTACTGGCATGAGAATGGTATCAATTTTCTCATCCAACTTTGAGCCCAAAAACAAACAAGCATATTTCCCAAAATGCCAAACTGATATCTAAATCATCTGCACTCAAAGAAGACTTTTTCAAATTTCAGCATGAATGTGTAATTTGAAAAAGAAAGCAATCTTTAGTGGCTGTTTTGCAACATGTGTTTAATGTTCTCCGGTCAGATGTCCGGTCAGCGTTACCATTCCATCTGCATTCCCAAATATCTTTTTTTTTTTGTGATATATCATTCAAGGAGGTCGTAAAAACAGAGAAAAAAAATCAATCAACAAGCTAAAAAACAAAAAAGAGGGCAAATCAAACTTTCAATGCCATTAATCAGCCAAGCTCTTGGTAGGCTAATATTATAAAAGCAAGTGACCGAAAAGCATCATGCAGCATAAGAGGTATGTTCACAAACTAGGCTTGGCAGTCTTCATACATAAGTAATGGGTATGTTCTATAAGATCTGTATAAGAGCTATACCTTTTCTCATAAAATACAGCTCACAGGTTTGTTTTGGACCCCATTACTAGGAATCCTCTCAAATTTCCAATTAGGAACAACTACAGGGATTAAAGCTGTCTGATTTTTCTTTTCTCATAAAACATAACATGCATATTGTAAGTTTACAGTGTTCTAACAACACATTTCTTTGCCATAAGTAACGGCATTTGCTTCTTCTGAAAAGCTATTTGAAGTTGAGTGAGTTGAAGCTATTTCTCCTTAAAGACAAAAGCTGCCTTGGAAACAAGAGCGCTACCGGGGCAGAAGAGAGTGCAGACACTTTGGAGGGCCCTAGAGGAGACTGCAAAGCCTATCAAAAATGTATTAGTACCATTTTTGATAATTTTGGAGGAAAAATAAATCAAAAAATGGTTTTCTCCAATTTTTTTTTTTTAATATCGCTAAAATCATAATAGTAATTATAATAATAGTGAGTAGAAAGGAAAGGGTGAGAGGATCAGCCTTAGTGTTTAAACTGAGTCTCACCTGGAATGACAGAGATAGTTTTCAATGCTCGGAGAACTCTGAATGTTCTCAGCGCAGATACATTGCCCAGGTCCACAAACTCTGTTATATATCTGAAATAGGGGAAGGATCACACACAGAACAAACACGATGACAAAAACCACACACGCCAAGAGCACAACACCACCGAACCAGGAGGAAACGACGCCACTCACAGAGCCTGTCCACTGAGGAGAAGGGTGGAAGGTAAAAGGAAAGAAAGACACACACACCTAACACCGACCCCGCCCCACTGCCCCCACCCCGCACCATCCTGTCTTACCTGGAATTACAGAAATAGTTTTCAATGCCCTCAACACCCTGAACGTGCGCAGAGCTGAGACATTGCCTAGGTTTACAAACTCTGTTATATACCTGCAGGATCAAACCACAGTTACAACAGCTTATTATTTACATGCAGATAAACGGTGAAAAGATCAATTCAGACAAAGATGGGCTTTGTGAGAAACAATGACATTTTGTATGATGGTCTTTTTGGGGGGAGGGGTGGGGGCTGTATTTGCTCATATGGAAATAAGTAAACTAGGTGACTTATAGTCGCTGGGAAGACACTGAGCATTAAATTGGATTTTGCAGGCTCCTGACGACTGAGAGAGAAAATGTGAATGACAAGAGTTGGATGGCGAGAGGGAGATGAATCAGACTGAATGACAGTGAGGTGTGGGTGTTGTCAAGGAGGCCGAGCAGTGTCAGATGGAGATCTTCGATTCCCAAAGAGAAAACCAGAGAAGTCTCGGCTCAAATGAGGAAACACAGAAGACGGGTTATCAGATAGGAAACAGGCAAAAGATAATAACTAAAACATCAGTTTACTTTAACCCAACCCAAATACGCAACGTATTTGTGTCCAATTTAACATCCTATTTACTCAGAGCTCGATCGAAATTAAAATACTTACGCCATCGAAATGACCATGAAATCCAGCCAGTTCCATGGATCTCTTAGGAATGTAAACCCATCTATACAGAAGCCTCGCGCAGTGATCTTTACAAGAGACTCGAACGTATAAATTCCCGTGAACGTGTACCTGGAAGACAAAGCGTTGACAGAATCAGTTCACCGCGCTAGATCAAAGCTCGCTCATTTCTAAGTGCCTGCACCTTCATTAACTGTTAAGACACCCAGGAAATGCCGACGTTAGATAAAATTAGAATCATGCAAAATCAGATAAAACACTTTTCTGTCGGTCTAATGTTTTATTAGAATGTTGCTTCGTTACATTTGAGCCACACAAATTTCCAGAAAACAGAGGTTTTCAAATACACTGCAGCATACAGCCCCATCAGTGTTTTCTTCTAAAATCTTGATTCTTGTGTGAAAAATATATAGTATGGTTATTGTGCAGAGGGTTTAAAGAGAAAATTCAAATTTAAAATTTCACAGAATTTGACCATCTGTGACTCAGATGTAGTGCCAACATAGGGACACAAACATTTATCACCCATTTATATATGAAAACAGATAAAGTGTACTTACTCTACTTGTTTTGACCACTCAGGAGGATCGCTAAAGGTCATGAATATACAGTTGGTCAAAATAGTACACATAATGATCATGCTGAAAAGAGTGAGGAGCATGTTAAGGAAAACGCAGACTGTAGTGGTAATCACATACATCATCAAGCCTCCATGACATGTAAAACATAAGAATAAAAAATACAGCTTGCAGTAGGTAACGTATGTCCTACAGTCGAGTACGCATAAACAGCCAGCAATATTTAAACAGTTAAAGTCAAGACATGAACTCAAAGCACTTAACTGAAGGTGGTTAAACATAGCCACTACTATTAAATATTTAAACAGTATATATTTAGGGGAAATGCAAAACTACAGTACATTTTAAAGGTGCAAAGCTTTCAGTGCAGAGAGGCTGACACTCAAAGGAAACCAGGGAAACTTCAGACTTGGCTTTAAATGCCTGCAGAGGTCAGTATTAGTTGTGCCTTGAAATATTTGAACAATATTTCTGTACAGCATTAACCAGCAGTTGCAAAGACCTACACAGTGCACTCTACACAAATGTAGATTTAGGTGGGCAAAATAAAATGCCACTCACATTACTGCTTCTCTGTTTTATTTTACTTACTTTTTTATATACATCTATAAAAATAATTAATTTGTGCCTAAACTGGAAAACCTTTAATTATGCACCTTGCCTCATTTAGTATCTATGGACAGATCTTTAAATAAACCACGTGTATCTGCGGGCACCACTAACTCACAGGTTGCATTGCTGCAGGAAGGAGGCACAGTGGGGCACAGTCTGCTTCATTTTTAAACCAGATGCCCAAACAGTCGTGTGTCACATGACACACAGCTGGCTCACTTCCCTTAACTTGTGCAAATAGATAAGATAAAACAAGTCAAATAAAATATATTTCAAAAATCACATAAAATATTAACATGCAGCTCTGATCAGCTGAGGTCCTAAAACAAGTTTCCTTTTATGTCTTTAACAGTGCTTCAAATCGAGGGTGCATCCTCCAACTGTTCCTTCTGGATTCGTAGATAATGCACCGATAATGTGCTTACCGAGAGGTCTAGCTTGGCTGACTGTTAAGGATGACTCATCATTTGTGCTAGCCTTTCCCTTCAGTGATAAAATGGCTACTGCATGGCGTCCTCTGTGCTCTTTCTTGACTGTAACAAACCGACTCTCTCCTGTACCTCCACTCACAGGAAACGTCGATAGCAGCGCGAGCAGAGAGACAGAACACATCATGAATAATACACATAAACAGGAAACCTTTTCAGTCCCAGCAGTTTAGAAACCATTTCAAAGGATATGAATGTATCAAAATTTTAATAGCTAATCGCCTAACCGGATTAAAAGGACTTATTAAGTACAAGGCAGGTGTGGCACTAAAACGGAAGATTGTCTTCCCTCTATTTAGCACTATAAATGTCTGTGGAGAGAAGAAACAGAGAGAGAGAGAGAGAGGGAGACAGTTAACAATCAGAAAGATTATAAATAGACAAAGAACAATAGCAAGGAATATTTAAAAATGTATATGTCATCCTATTTGAAACATTGTGAAAACATTTTCTGCAAGGCATACACGGCCAGTATGCGGACGATAAATAAACAACGTGCATTTGGTCATTTAAGTAAAATGCTGCTTTTAAACAAATGCAAATAAAGTGAGAACTGCTGGCAGGATGACTGTGTGTTGTCCCAGAATCTCAGTGCTGCACCGCCCACTGTGGCGTCTTTAAGGGGAAGGAAACGGGCAAAACCGAGAGGAGCTTGCGAGCCACTTTCTGTGGATAACCTCATAATTGTTTAAATAAAACATGGCGATTTGCATGAAACATTCATGGAACTGTGCATTTGCACAAGTGATACGGGGCCCTTGTGCTTTTAACAAGGCATCTCTCACTCCACGCTAAGCCTCTGAAGAGACACCGACAGCGGAGTCAGGAGGGAGGGAGAGGAGGAGGAAAGAGGAGAAGCGGGGCGGATGGGTGGGGAGGTGGGAAGCAAGGCGCCTCACGGCGGTGGCGTCACATGACCGCGTGTATTTTGTGCGTTTTGGACAGAAATAAGGTGTGTGCCCGAGTTCTTACTATGACATAAACGTCTGAAAAAAACAAAATGACGAATGCGTCCACTTACAAATAAGACGGATCACCCCTGATGTCAATATTACCTAAATGAAGGGAGACGTCAGCACAGTTTCAAATGACTGGACCCACTTCCTTCCTCCAACCTTCCTCTCTTATTATAATTATAGGTCAGTGCATCTCCCTCATCATTAACACTGTCATCTACCAGTCAAGACAATCACACGCTTGGAAATGTCCCATCATGACATTTCTCTTAAACACAGCCATCGTGCACATATGCAGGGTACACATCCATGACTCACAAACAAATGCATAATTACACACATCACATGCAGCAGCAGCAGCAGCACCACAGCACAATCAATAACCACCACTGTCACCCTGACACACATGTCCTCCACAGCTATCCATGAAGCGCTTTTTTTTGGGTAACACATGACAAAAGTGCTGCTGCAAAGCTACTGAAAATTTCATAATCTAGAGCTGAACGAGGAGGAGAGGCAGAGAAGGCGGGGGGTGGAGAGCGAATGAAGCAGGCAGGCAGGGAGCAACTGTGGCAACAGCAGGCTGAGGAGAAGCAGGGCACGAGGAGCCAGAACGGGGAAGCTGGGCGGAAGACGAAGAGGAGGACGGGAGGGGGGATGGGTGGGAGAGAGAAACCAAGAGCGGCTTCGACACAGAAGCTCGATCCAGCAGGCAGGGCTGCAGCATCTGCATCCGTGAGGGCCTCAACAGCCATTCGGCGACCCCCTTTTTTGACCCTTGTGGCAAGCGATAAATGGGCTGCGTTTATGGCGCCTTTAGCCCGAAAGCCCCACAGTCACAGAGACATTAATATATGATGCTATAAGGCCTTCCTATGAGATGCCCATGCATTCCTTGCCGTGCTTTCGCCCTGTTTATGCCATTTGGTGTGCAAAAAAATATATTTTTGCATTGTCTCTAGAGGCATGCTGAAATATTCCTGACAATGTTATTAAAATAGATGAAAATTAAACCATTACTGTAAGGTAATATTACTGTAAACATCTTTAACCAGTCCACACAAGACAAAATGCTGCGTTTTCTCCGATATACATCCACTGATATGATGGGGCAAGAACTTGTGACGGGGTGACTTCAGTCATCTTATTTTTGAGACGCTCTGCTGTGTCTGTGGCAGATCTTTGTCCTCAGCAAAACATGTTTTGGTTATCTTGGCTGCAGCATGAAGGACAGCAAATGTGCTCATGCATCCTTGCACATGTTGTCTGTTTCATCTCTGTCCTCTCTTCATCTCTCCCTCCCTCCCTTCCTTCTATGTCCTCTCCTTGAAATCTTTCGCCGGCCTTGAACAGTGATGGCAACCACGACCCGGCCTAGCTCAGCTCAGCGTGGCACAGCCCTGCTCGGGCCACCAACCAGGCGGGGAGGGCCGTTGCTGCGTCATCACCTAGCTAGCCTCCCGGCCTTCTGTCTCAGCTATAAGATGGCCTAAAAGAGCCACGAATCTAGATTTATCTGAAAGATGAGGAGCAACCTTCCTTTACATATATTCCCCCTCATCTTTCTGCACCTCCTTCCTGCAAGGGAGCTATCCAGATGCAACCTGCCACCTCTCAAATGACAAAGACACACAGGGCAAACGTTCTCCCATCAAGGTCACCACCTGATCTGGTGTCACTGCAGCATCGGCTCCCTTTGGTATCAGAATGACACTAGATTAGGGGCCGTAATTAGATTTGCCTGAAGCCAAGAAGCAAAGACAAGAAGCAAGAGCAGAAGCGAGGCTGCACGGCTCACGCGCATGTGTGTCATTAATATGGAACACGTGGGGGGAAATAGACAGGTGAGCTGCATGTAAGCAAGTGAACAATCAACAGTGCCGTGGATCCCTGGACATGTTTGCCACGTGTCATCTGAATCGTGTCTCCTTGTGCGCCGGACTGGTGCGTTACATAACAGTCAGTGTGCACGGTGTAAAGACAGAGAGGTATAACACGGAGACAGACGGAGAGGAACGCTGATGCTGATGCTGTGCAGCCAAACGCACACACGCACAATATCTAAACAAATCTGTTCAGGTAACGACGATGACTAAACACGCCATTACCCTCCTGTTTTGTCAGGGAGGGTTTGCTATATTTTGAGATACTCTGTGTGGACTGAGGTTTACACAACGCTGTTGTCAAAACGTGCAGCAGTTTTGAAATGAATATATGATCGAAGGAGACTGTCTTGAACGAAAATGCAAATTTTGTTATATAACTTTTTTTTTGACTATAAATAGACAACAAACAACGCTACCATGGTAGAAGGTTTTAGCCTTCACTGCTCGGTCCTATTATGAACACACGAGCATTGAACTCACCACAGTACACCTTGCATTTGCACTGATGCTTAAGGAAAGGAGAGAACAGCCATTTTATGATAAATTATTCTCGCACTCCTACGAGTAAAAATGTAGAACTCTTAGAAGCATCTTTAGCTCTACAGCTTTCCACAATACAGTTTCTTTATAGTTTTCAATTTTGAGCCTCTAATTCTCCCTTTTTCAATATCTGCAAGCCGTGTCTTCTGTTCTTTAAGTTCGGAGGCTTTTGCACAACAAAAACAGTTGAGTGAAACAAATGCAGTCTCCAACAGTTTAGGCTAACAGGTGCACATTAAAAGACTGTCAAGGTCACCTGTTTGTCCTCACACTGAGGACGACCAGACGTCAGACATGACAGAAACCCCAGAGAGACACGTGTCTCCTTTAAGACGACCAGAGTCCTCTCAGCCTGCTGCTGCTTCTCTCTCCTGCCACAGATTAATTTTTCAACAATTAGGAAAGTCTGTCATGTGGAACAACGGTCTTTCAACAGTAACTGCTTCTGACCTTTTCCCCAAAGCCCTGTGAGCACATTGGAGATACAGCAACGGCCCACTCAACAGCTCGAGAGCTCGGCTCCAACACTCCCCAAAGGTCTTCGAGGAGGAAAACGTAATTACCTCCCGCAGCCTAATTATAAAATTAAAAATAACTGTAAACATAGCACCCCTGAAAGTCAAGTGTCAAAAAACCCCCTAAAAAACCCCACAGTGACTCTGCTGTCTGCGTCATTTCCGGTCATAACTTGTAACTCACTTCAACATAATGAAGTTTCTTATCTACTGAATGCTGTCCAAACCAATTATGTACTAAAATTATGAATGTCTGAGTTTATCTGATGTAACACAACGTCAGAAGGATAACAACACAATCACAATGTCTCAGGTTAAAATTTACTACAACCACTACAGTCAGATGCTACAACTATTTCTTCCAGATGCCACGCAAGCCTTGGATTTTAGTTTTAAACTGAGCTCAACTGATCACAATCAAATCTCTCAATATGAAAAACAACACTGAAAAAGATCAAAAGAAAAGTGTTTTATGAAAAAAAAAGAGTGCAAACACAAATCAGGCCAAGCACAAGGATGGAAAGGTAACAATGATGTTACAGGGTCACATTTTCACTTGCCAAATGCAATATTAAAGGTTTTTGGGAGGAATATTTTGAGCATTTTGGAAGCCTGAGAGCGAGGGACAAACATCAGAAACATTGCACTGCACCAATATTTGCAGCAATGTCAGATACTTTGTTTTAGAATAAAGCCAGCGCTCAATTTGACTAAAATCATTGTTGTGTGTGTGTGTGTGTGTGTGTGTGTGTGTGTGTGTGTGTGTGTGTGTGTGTGTGTGTGTGTGAATACTCACTTTTTGAGAATTCACGTAGAATGGGTCCAGATCCTCCAGTGGTACCGCCGCCATTCCCTTAGGGATGTCCCCATAGATGTAGGGCAGGCTCTTCCCAGCCTCCAGGTCACTGTTGGGTTTGGGCTTGTTCTCGTCATCGTCGTCACGGTAGCTGCTGTCCTGCTTGGGTGGCTTTTTGTTCTTCTCCTCTTGGATGCGCTGCTCAAGGACCACCAAAGATTCTGGAGTAAACTTCCTGAAGCTGTCAGGTCCTGGCGGTGCAAGAAGGGGTGCGGCCATGTTTTCATCCTGCAGCTACTTAGTCTTTAGGTTTGTACCATCCACGGTAGCAGCTCTGCGGGAAGCAGGAGGGGGGAATATAACATGAAATGACGTACTACAAAAATGGTGGCCTGAAATTAACAGTTAGCTGGGTGCCCATTTAGAAAGATTACAGAAAAAGGAGACAATACAGCTGCAAAATGTTATTTTATGCACCAAAAGAACAAGAAAATGTTGAGATCTTGTAATGTTAAATATATATATATATATGTGTGTGTGTGTGTGTGTGTGTGTGTGTGTGTGTGTGTGTGTGTGTGTGTGTGTGTGTGTGTGTGTGTGTGTGTGTGTGTGTGTATAAGCATTTGCAGGCTAACAGATCTCCTCCATCTAGTTTATCTCCATTAAGGAAGTGAGCTGAAGAGAACCATTAACAGACATTTGTTAAATGATCCTCTGAAGCAGCAGAGTGTGTGGTTGACTTAAATAAAGAGAATATTTTAGATAAGAGTGTTAAAGAGCAACGCATAATGGTTATTCTCATAAGATGGGGGAAATATCAGATAATATACTGAGGAAGCCTTTTGGATGAGAGGTTTTCACAAGCCTAAAGAAGCCCAGTTGCATTCTTATTTCAAGCTTTCTAGTCAACCATGACCTGGATGACTGTGAACCTACACAGGCAAATGTGTAGGTTTATATAAAAACATGCATATTCAGTCATTTCCAACCTTTGAGGACCTGTTTTACCAAGAAAGAACTCCAAACCAGTGGTATATGCTTCAGTTGATGAACATGGTCGGTTTTGCCATTTCAACTCACGTTGTGTTGTTTTATTGGTTACATATATTTGCGTTGCCATGGTAAATCAGATGTTGCACAGGTTAACAAACAAATATGTAAATATTAAAGAAGATGTATTTTATAATTAATTGAATGAAGACCAAGTTCCACCTGCACAAAAAATCAAACCACAGGTTTAAAAGTCTCACCCCTCATGACTCTGTTAAACAAAAAGGCTGAGAATAAAAGGCCTTACAGTAAAGGCTTTCTCCAAAACGCAAAGAGGGTAACATGACAAATGTTCAAGCTGCAGGAACACCGGGCAGTGCTGAAGCAAAGAGGAAGGAGCTGAAATTAGAGTTCAGTTAAGCCAGACTTGAAAAATTAACGAAATCATTAGAATTTTTGGAGGATTTCTAAAACATCGCCCTCCCCTCTCTTCGCCCTGTGTTCCACCTGCTGCTGCAGCGCAAAATCCTTTCATTTCAACAGGAGCAAGGTGTCTGCAGCCTGAACAGGACAGGCGGCCATATTTGAGTCAGCGGGCCCCGTCACTTCCCTGCCTCCCTCTTACATAACAGCGTCTAATTGAAATGTTCGACGCGTTAAAGCTGGCATCACACGGGAAAGACTCCACTCTGCGTGTCCCGACACTCGGTGGAAAAAGCACAGGAGACGTGAAGCAGGTGAGGCGAGAGGTCTGTTTTAAAATGGACACCAGAACCTCGGAGCCTTCTGCTGCGAGGCTGGCGCTGTCCGCTTCAGCACTGCACGAGCTCATATTCATACACGTGCGCGCGCACGTGAGTGCCTACGAAAAAGGTGCGGGGGGGTGCACACAACCCTCCGTTCTTTTCTTTTTTCTTTTTCTTCCCCGACACCTTCAGGCCTGTAGTTTATCCTTCAAATCTCCTCGATTATTAAGTCGTGGTGGCAACACTCGTCTCGTTATCTGTCCCATCGGCTGCTGCTTACATCTAAGCCTAGCAGTGCGATCAGTGTCACACAGAAACGGAGAACATTCTGGCATCTTCTCGGTCAAATCAACTTGTTTCCTAAAGGTTTGAATCAGAGAGCCACTGCGTTTCCAATCTATTCCTGTGCTGAGCTTCACAGAGAAGCTGTGGGTTATACTGCGCAGTGAAGTGGCCCGCTACAACCAAATTGGCCAAAGCTGTATTGCTGCAGTGGGAGGTTTACATGTTAAAAATTGTCACGCTGAGGTAAGCACAACCGTGGATCAAAGTCACGAGTGTGGTGTCGATGTAAAAATAACAATCAGGTACATTTTGTCCTCCCTGTGAAACAGCAAACACGGTTTTGTTTTTCTTGGGGTTTTTTGTCCTCTCCGGGATGTTCTGTGCGCTTTTGCGCGTTGTCTTCAAGGATCTGCACCACACCCGTGAAGCCATGTCGACTGCCAAATCAATAAGGCTCTATCTGTGCACAAATAACCCAGGCTGCGAAGCTAAAAGTAACACACAGTCTGCACCACGGCGTTAAACACGACGATTAGAAAACAGCAATGCTCATGTCACGCCAAAATCACCTGGAGGAATGCAAATTTCCCGTCTGTTGGTGATGGAAAGAAGATCGGGCTACTTACATAGCATCAGCCCCTTCTTGAAGCCTTGTGGGGTTTCAAGTGCATCATCCTTTAGTCCGGAGGATATAAAGAAAAAAGCCCAAATTAAAAATAAAAACCTACAAAGTTTTCTGGGCTTCGAAGAAGTCAGACGGCGCCCTGCCTGAAGCCTAACCTATGAGACATTTTCTCCTCCCTCCCCTGTTTTCTAATCAGTACCTCCGATCCTCGGTGAAATGGTTAATCTGATAAATTCCGACAACAACTGGCTGTTAAATATATTTCCCTCCCTCTTCGCACTGGTTCAGCCGGTAGATGCCCATCGAGCGCAGACACCCTGTTTCGTCGCGCTCGCTCCCCCAAAAAAAGATGCGGGGCAGTGTGCAGCTCTGCGACATTTAGGCTACGCAGGGATAGCCTACCGACGGAGAGAAAATCTGCCCTCACCTACCGACGCGCGCCAGGCTTTCCCCAACGGTTACAAGCGAAGGATACTCACTTCGTAAGCGTTACAATGAATCCAGAGAGCCGTTGCAGGACTGCAGATGTGAAAAAGCTTGGGGAGAAACTGCGGTTGTCGCCATATTGTTGCTGCTACCTTCCCCCTCAGCGCGAGCGGTTTTCCTGCATAATTGATGACTCTCAGCAGAATGTGAGGGAGTGTCGGAGAGCGCGTTTCGTAAAATCGTAAAGGTCATTTAGGCCCGCAGACTCCAAACCCCCCCAGTGAGCGCCTCACAGCACAGGATCAGGGATGATCCATGGTGAGAGACTGTGCGCAGAAAACACGCTCAAGGTTTTTCTGACAAAACGCATTGGCTCACTGTGTGAGCACTGTGTGTGTGCAGTGTGTGTGTAATGTGTGTGTAATGCAGGAATTTATCATGTGTAGGCATTCAAATAGGGGAGGCCACTACATGTCTGAGATATGGGAAGAAAATAATAGTTTCTTGAAAGACATTAAAGCTGATGAGTGAATGAAAAGACAGTTACGCACACGCGCGCGCGAACACACAACTAACGCCTTAATTGTTTCTCTTTCTCACATGTTCAGTGTTATAAACATTTGTTCACTTATCGTCACATACTTGCAAATATATTATTTAAGCCGAGCACCTCATCTCCAAATGACTGTTTTCACTTACAGGCCTCCTCCAGCACTTCGCCCTTTAATAGCACAAATTTAAATGCAAATAGGCAGCTCTTAATCCGGTAACCTGCCCTCTGTCTTTTTGTTGTTACGTAATGCGCGAGCTCGCGTGTGAATCAATGCAAACGGAGCCTCAAAATATATCAAGAGCTTTCACGTTTCTGTAGAGTAGCTGCTTTTCCGTTAAAACTTTTTTTACGCAGATCAAAAGAGCTGAACGTGCACCTGACGTCATCGGTGGTCGGAACAGTTTCTGTTTGCGATCAAAAATACACACATATATATTTATATTTACATTAATGAAGGAAAAGAGTTGAAACTAAATGGAGTTAAAAGGTTTTCTCCTGTGTCTGAACGTCTGCTATTTGACCGCATTATCCACTTCGCCACAGAAGAGTGAGTACCTGCAGAAGTTTTAGTGTTATTTCTTCTTTTCCTCCACTTTTTAGTAAAGTATTCAGCCAGTTTTTGATTATCAGTAACTTCAGATCCTGTTTTGCGGGGGGGTTTGGCGTTTTTTTGTTGTTGTTTTTTAGCAAAGCCCCTCTTTCTTGGACCCGAGTGTTATTTAGGTGAATTTTTCTAATTTTCTAATGAACTAATATAAGTTTTGTTTTGTTTTGTTTTAAACAGGTGTCTCAGTTCAGCTTTTTGGCTAATATTGAGCAGCTAACTTTACTGGGTCCATGTGCTGACTGTGACTCAGCACTTTACCTGATAAACATTTTATTTGTGTTATGATATGATGAAGTCTCAGTGATACACTCAGTTCACTTCCTCGCTGAAAATGTACTTTCTTTGTTTCTTTACTAACAGAAAGATTAATTAGCACATCACCCGCAGTTTTGCACTTTAAGAAAAATTAAACCATTCACCCACTATTATGTGTTATCACAAAAGCAGACAAAAACAACTAATACTACTTTATTCAAATTTTTATATTTTATATATATTCGTTTGGTTTCTATCACCACTGCTGTCACCAAAACCTATATAATCATTGGCTATTTTGGATGTCTGTTGCGATTTGAAAAATATTCGGTAGCACTTTTTAGTACAGCTCGGCAAGAATGTGGTAATAGGGGGGTGAACAGGAAGAAACAAGCAGGTAACAGTATAAAAATAGCAGGTTATTACCCCAGAAAGTTAATGTTGGATCCCTCTCAATAATCCAGTTAAGGCGATATTACTAGTATCCAAGTAATGTCCAAGTAATTAAGGTTAATGCTATTATCATTATATGGTAATAGTATCCTAATATGTTAAAGCGTCTACCTACAAACTACAATATTATTGTGAGACTACGACCAATATGACCTGTATGTTTGAGTGGTGAGTAACACTAGAAAGGAGCTTTAATGTGTTTTTCACATTAAAATGAGAAACACATTTAAAGTTTACGTACAAGTCAACTTAAAACCTTTTTTTTAATCTTTATTAGGTTGTGGGGAACGGCCTCTTTTTGGTCCTCCAGGTGCTTCTCGGATCGTGGGTGGCCGGGAGGCTCCCGAGGGGGCGTGGCCATGGCAGGTCAGCATCCAGATCCAATACAGACACCACTGTGGTGGCACTCTCCTCAGCAGCGTCTGGGTGCTCACTGCCACACACTGCTTCTACCACCACCTGTGAGTCCCTTAAAAGTAACAGTTAGGGCACTTTGCACAGGGGGGGGGTCCTTACCGCAACGTTATTGGCGTGAAGGTAAACGCTGACGTATATGTATATGTTTGGGTTTTTTTACACTCTTTTCTTTTGTGTCCAGACGGATCGGCCTGAGCTATTTTCGTGTGGTGGCAGGACTAAATACGCTATCTTCTCCAGGAAATTACGCCCAGGTCCGCTCCATCAGGGGAGTGAAAATGCACGATGGTTACAACATTTTCACATCCGATAACGATGTGACGCTGTTGCTGCTCAGCTCGCCCTTTAAGTTCACCAACTACATCCAGCCTATTTGCCTTCCTGGTGATGTGATCCACGAGGCCATGCTCAACCTCAGCCACTGCTTCGTCAGTGGATGGGGAAGCACCTATTACAAAGGTGGGAAAGGCCAGAGTTACTATTTTAAAAAAAGAAAAATTAGTATTTAGTTTAGGGCAGGGATGTCAAACATAAGGTCTGGGGGGCAAAATTGGAGCCAATATGGCCCATTTTACATTTTTGGAAAAAGTGAATTTAAAAATTTTGGACTTTTAAACTTATTTTTATAAGTTTTACAACTTTACATGCTGACAAAGACCAACAGCCACACCCATTTATACTATATCAAAGGAGCTAAGTAATAGATAAACAAGTAAATGACAAAAAAGTTTGTTTTCCATTTTCTACCATAGAAATTTTAGTTCAACAAAAGAACATTTTGGAAAATTAATAAAACCTGTTTGTTGTTTTTGTAAATAGGAAATAGGAGAGTGAGATAGCAGAACTTTTTCTTCAATTTTACACATTTATCAGGTAGAGAAACAGATTTACTACTGATCTTTTTATCTTTTATTAACACATCTGAATGTGGGCTCTGGCAGCTCCTGGCAACACAAGTCAGATGAAAGGTTAAGAAAATGATTGAAATAGCTGAGTTTATTGATGTCAACCAAAGCATGCAAAAAGTGAAGGGGTTCTGAAGTATTTGCAGCTGTAGAATAGAATAGCCTTTATTGTCATTGTACAGAGTACAACGAAATTGGAGTGCCACTCCCTTGGTGCAAGTTTCAATAATAAATATAAATGTAAAATATAAAAAGTACAAAAAAAAACCAATCGTAAGTACTCAAACAATAGTATGTACAATATATACAGGATAGCAGCATTAATATAATGACAGTATGAATAGCAGCATAATATAATGACAGTGACGGTATGGAATAGGTTCAATTGTTTTTGTGCTTATTTACTACGGTGATAGCTCTGGGAAAGAAGCTATCCCTGAATCTGTTTGTCCTGGTTTTATGTGACCTGTACCGTCGGCCTGACGGTAATAGTTCAAACAGTTGGTTGCTGGGGTGAGAGTGGTCCTTGATGATATTGCCAGCTCTGCTGAGGTACCGAGAGTTTGCAGTGACCTCCAGGCTGGGCAGAGAGCAGCCAGTGATCTTCTGGGCTGTGTTGATGACCCTCTGCAGTACTTTCCTGTCTGCAGCTGCAGCTGTATTATCTGTATGTCCGGTTTTAGAAGTCATCAGTGCATCAGACAAACTTCTCATCCTCTGGAAGTTTAATGTGAGAGCAGGAAAAGTTTACAAAGAGAACGATGAGAAATTTTAGTAAAGGTGAAATGAACTCCACTGGCAAGTGAACTCAACATCTACTTGACTATTATGTGGCTTGCAATGCTGCCTTACATAAGTTCTTATCAACAGAGATAATGCACGTTGCTGAGCTTGTCTTAGCCTTGAAGCCTACCTCATAAGATGAAAACTAGAAAACTTGATGTTGTGAAGCTGGCATGTGCTGATTACCAAAAAGATTTGCCAGGGCAGTTGAACTGGCTCTTGAAGATTCTCAAGAACATCTTGAGATCTTGAAGGCTGCTACTCAAAATACAGCCGGCTGGTTTTCAGAGGATTGTGTAGAAATCCAGAAACTTCTAGAAAGTCAGAACCAGCCTTCCTCACAGTAAAGACCAAAACGCAGAAAGAAAGAAGAAAGAAACACTTGGAGATCCTGATGCTACAAAAAGAAGGAGAAGAATTGCAGATTCTGTCAGATAAGAACGACTCCCAAGGCTTGTTTGCTGCACTGAAGGCAAACTGTGGTATCCACATGATGTGACATCTGACAGGAGATATGAAGGACACCACTGAGTGATGAAAGGAACAGTTTTAGAACCTCTTTAACACAACTTCAAGTCCCAGTTAGAGCTCGGCTGTGTATATCCATTTCAATGGATGAGCCATAGAAAGCACTCAAGAAAACTCGGAAAAGTCGGGTATCAGGTCAGGCTCTTATATCTCTACAACAACTCCTGGAAACAGAAAAGATCACACTGAATAGAAAGAAAGAATCAGTGAAACGCCATATGGAGATCACTGGGATGCACTCTGAAACCTGAGAAGTGCAGAGTTGTCAAATCAGGTGTTCATGCTGCGCAAGGCATTTGTTGACCAGATTACAGGGCCTCGCAAATAAGGTGGCACATCAGCTTCGAGTTGGGCGGTCACTCAGCGCAACAGATGTGGAAAACTGTCATTTCTAGGGCAGGTCGCACAAGTGTGGCTATCACAGTCTAATCTACAACTGAGTCACAATGGGCTGCTAGTTCCTGTTTTTGAATATATTATATCATGTAGATACTGAAAGCATGATTATTTTCCTCTGTTTTTAAATGTCACTCTCACATTACGTCACATATATTAATAAAGTTTTTTCAAAGCATCTTTGGTGTGTGAACTGCAGGCCCGCTGACGAACAAACTGCAGGAAGCTGAGGTGGAGCTCATCGACAGACAAACATGTAACCGGGTCACCTGGTATAACGGCATCATCACTGAGAAGATGATCTGCGCAGGACTGGAGAGCGGAGCAGCCGATTCCTGTCAGGTGCTGATCCTTGGGTTTTGTTTTTGTTTTTTATTAAGTCACTACGGGCTGGTTGAAAGAAAACTTCACGCTGTTTGTGTCTGCTTCAGGGTGACAGCGGGGGCCCGCTGCAGTGCTACAGCGAGAATCAGGATAGGTTTTATCAGGTTGGCGTGACGAGCTTCGGAGACGAGTGTGGACTTCCTCTCAAGCCTGGGGTGTACGCACGAGTCAGCATTTTTTCAAAGTGGCTGACTGCGAGTCAGACAGCGGTAGCAGCATCTGTCCACAGAGCGAGCACGGGAGTCATCGCAGCTCTGCTCGCTGCTGCTTTGACGCTGCTCTGAAACATCCAGACTGGCAGCAATAAACCTCCAAACTAAAGCAAACAGCTCTGAACGCCACACGCTTATTTTTTCATATACAGTTCATAACAACAACCCTGTTAGAGCTGTCAGAGCTTTTTTAAAGGCACAGGAGAGCCACATTTCTTATTCAGCAGCTTACTTTGGAGTGATGGTGTAACTTGTTGTCAAGCCAGAAACGCTCTGATTGTTTCACATGATATCTGTGTTTATTAATTTTCTTTGTACAGCATGTAAATACAGACAGAGACACATGTATGTGATGACATGTGCTTCGTCTTAAAATGAGCTCACATTTTCTAACACGTTGCTTTTGTTATCAGTAATAGAAGGAGGGTTAAGACGTGCTAATAATGGATGGTTTTTATTTCTCTGCTGCAAGGAGTTGTTTCCTTTGGAGAGACGAGTCCATTAGAAATACGAAAGCTGTAATATGACTGAAAGGCAGCTGCTTCCTTGGAATTCACTTTATTGGCGACATTTCCACAACAACTTATCTTGCTTAGATTATCTCATAGAGTTTTTAAGGCACTCAGCAGAAGAGAGAAGAGCTTTTAAACTCCTGAGTGGGTACAAAAAAGATGTCAGAGCTTTTATTTATTAGGAAGACCAGAAGTTTCCCTTTTTTTCCTAATAAAAGCTTTAAAACATCCAGAAAAAAACTTTATTAAGAGCAACAGATTGTATTAAGATGTTAAAAGGCTTAAGTTTAATTCCTGGATTAATGGCATGTCTGTAGGTGATTATATAAATGTATTAACAGCCTGATTTTAACTGATTAGCCTGATCTAGAGTTTCTAGATGGTGTTTTTAAGAAAGCTTTTCTTTTAAGAAACACATTTCCAGTGTCAAATAAAACTAAATTAGTCGGTTTCAGAAATCGAATTATTCTTGCATTAATATATATAAAAAAATAAATGAATAAAAAAAAAAGTAACTAAATACACAGCTTCTTCCTTTCTGATACTACTTTGTTACACTGCAACAGGCCTAGACTGCTGGGGTCTTCCCATGATGCATTGTTTCTTTTTCGCTTTCTTTGTGTTCTCCACTCTGCATTTAATCATGACTTATTATCAATCTCTGGCTCTCTTCCACAGTGTGGTTTTATCGCTCCCCCTGCCCCTCACTCCCAAACGGGCGTAGCAGAAATCTGCCCTTCCCTGAGCCAACCAGAGGTTTCTTCCTGTTAAAAGGGAGTTTTTCCTTCCCACTGTCGCCAAATGTTTGCCAGTAGGAAGTCGTGCGATTATTGGAATTTCCCTTATATATTGTCGGGACTTTACCGTAGAATATAAAGTGGTTTGACGGGACCTTTGTTGCAATTAGTTGATCATCAATCAACTATTAACTATCTGTTGGTTCAAGTAAAGAAATATCTTATTTTATTAGATGTGAATATTTGTAAGAAACGCTAAGCAAAACTGAAGTGTGGCATCTTAACACCCCCAACACAAACACACAGAGCAGAAACACTGACACCTGCTGGAGGGAAGATGCCATTTTCTTTCTTGTAACAGCAGCTGGTTGCAGATAGATGAGAAAAGAAGAAGTACAAGACAAGTCTGACAAAGCAATTTTTTTATTATTTGACATGAAACACATCCAATGACAGAGTGACAGTGTTTTTGTCAAGTAAGACATGTTGTTGTTGTTGTTAGAAGTTATCGCACCATTAACCAGTTGAGAATGTCTTTGCTGCAGCTCGACGATGCATAGTGAACAGACAGTTGCTGAGGTATACATTGTGGGCCCTTGAGTTTGTGGGGTTTTGCGTTTGCGTGTACGAGTAAAAGATCCTAATTTCATTACCTCGCAGGTACATTTACATTTTGTGCTTAGGATAACTTTGGAGGTTTGAAATGTTCGCCATTCGTCACAACACAATATGAAAACTCTATATATTCAGAGCGCATTGTCCATCAGATCCCGAACCGATGATGATGCAAGTATGGAGTGACTGAAGACATGTTGGCATGGAAAAAGAATGACTTGGTTTCACACAAAAGGGCATCTTCTTGTAATGACACTGGAGAACAAAACTGTCAACTTTCCCTTATTGAATAGCACCAATGTCTATTGAAAAGGCTTGAAGGCCAACATGAAATTATAAAACTTTATTAAAACTTGTCAGAGTGAAACAGTAGCGACAAAGCAATAATCACACAGCAGCCTCAGAAACCTCAGAAGACGCGTGACTCCAATTTCACTGGCACGCACACACGCCGTCGGTGTCGGTCACCGATTGAAAAGTGGTTTAATCGACGCGCGACAAAGCCGCTCCTACATCAAACCAGCTGCTTGCAGATAAAGATTGCATCAGGAAAATATTGATGAAATCCCTAGAAAATATATTAAAATTCCAATTTTGGATGGAAAGAGTAAAAATACAGTGGAGGCGACATTAAAAAAAACCAGAAGAAATAAAAAAAACAAAATAACAGGTTTACCAATTTGGGAAAATTCTTACAAAAGACAAAACTTGTTGCACCATAGAAGCCAAATATCACTGCTGAACACACACGCGCGCACACACACACTCACACACACACATAAAATGATATTGGGAAAGTGCACGTTTGTTCCTGCCCACTGAAACCTTTTTTGTTGCTTGCGATGTGGTAACCTTAAAATAATAACAATGCAGAAAATGCTGTCAAGTATGAAAGATCAAGTCAAGTTTTTTTGTTTTGTTTTTTTTTTATCTACAGATTCATTTTCATGTACACATTAACACCAGTAATACAGTATTTGACCTCTAAAATACAGTATACAGACATCTTTATTACTTCACTTTTTAAAGGAGGGTTCTGCAATTTTTAAAAAATCTTTTGAATCACAGGTTTGTTGCGGATTGTTCCCAGTTCATTTTCTTTCTTTTTTTTTAAGTGTTGCCCACATTCAGAATTAATGGATCTGAGTGATGACGGTTATGTTAAAATCAGAAAGGTATGAGCACGAACATAAAACACCAGCCTTCCTCTTAAAAAAACCTTCTTTTTTTTAAAATGTATGTGTGAGTTTTGAGCTACAAACTGGTTTCCGATTTCTCGCTTAGATTCGGTGAAACAGTTCTTTAAATAAGCAATAAAAGTACAGAAGTTCCACAGGTTTAATAAGGCAAAGCTCCTCATTCTTGATTTCTTTGTTTTGCTTTTTTTTTTTTTTTTTTTTTAAATTCAATGGTCCATTATCGTAAATGTCACCATGGTAAAAGGCACCGACTTGCCTTCAGATTTTCTACATTTATCTAATCAGCTGTGACACTAAATGAAACACGTTCTTTGATATAAGGTGGAAAACTACACACAGACTGAAAGCTAGCAGCTCACTTCAGAACCTCAGACCAAGCCAGGCGAAGCCGAACAAAACGGCCCTTGAACACAGAGAAGTTGGACCTTAAATTTTGTTTAGCGGTTTTTTGGTCTGCTATGGTTTTCAGAGCCTAGAGTGCCAAACTCCAGATTAAGCCTCCGATGTATTAACATCACATTAAAGCCACATTAGAGCTAAACATTTGACTTTATAAAGAAATTTGGCGACTTCACCCACGAAAAGAAAACCTTAAAAACTTCCCTCAACTTTCTAATTTGAATCTCTCCCTGGAAGTTCCCCATGCATGTCGGGTGATGCTGGAGCTCAGCTGCAAGAGCCTGGATTAAATTGGCCTTTGCTATCTCTCCTACTTTCCTATGGTTACAAAAATGTCCCTGCAAAACTGTCAGACTGAGCAAGCTGGTTGTCATGTACAACCCAAAGAACAAACAATAGTTTTCAGCTCATGAGTCCACAGGATCCAGGCCAAATTCTACTGTAAAGCCTCCCTGTTGCACTTGCTGTGCCAGATTTGTATCCCTGAGGTGTTTTCCTCTTCAGCAAAACTAAATCCAGTCTGAAATGTGTTCAGTCTAACGCACCAGTGAGAGGTGCATTAGCTGTTCTGGGGTGCACAAGGAGACCACATTGAAGGTGTGATCGGACAAATTTCAAATCACTTCCGGTTAGTTCTTCTCATGGGTGAAGTCACAAAAGTTTGTTGATGTTACTTTGTGAGATTTTTGTAAAGAAAATAAATACCCGGTGAGAAAAACTACACATTCACACAGAGACACCAACGTTCTCAAGATATTTCCTTAAAAAACAAAACCTTTAGATGAACCAAACGCTCATCTATACTGGCTATAGCTACATTTGTACAACACAAACAGTGCTGTCATTTATAGTCACACGTATTAATTTCTTTACAACATTTTAGCTGACAGATAAAGAGTAAAGAGAGTTAACTGCAAACATGGGTTAAAAGGAGAAGAGAAACAGAAGGTTGTCTGGGAATAACTTCAGAACATTCTTGGTCTCCCTCATTAACACCGGGTACTTATTTCCTCTTTAAGAGCAGCTCTTGTTGAGCGCCGGGAGGCTGTGAATGCTTTTACATGAGAGGCACAAAAACTGTGACAAAGCCTGAACATTCAGCATAGGCAGCGAAATAACTGCTGTGAGAATCCTTGGCTCGCGAAGCTTGTTTTCGTTTTGTTTCGAGCCCGCATGTAGACGTCACCTGCACTCCCAGCTGGCATGCACACCTAAACACAGACTATAGTTTCGAAAGTTGTTCTGGAAATTGGCGCTTTTTAAAAATAGATTAGTACTATCACAATCATACGAGCTATCTACCCCACCGACTCCTACTCACACCGAAGATGAAGAATCTGTTTCATCTTTACTACTCGGGTTCATGAAGTCTTTCTTTTCCCACACCAACAAGTAATTCAAGCATTTTTTTAAGATATTTTTTTGTTTCGTCATTGTCGACACTAAGTCTGCCAGCAAACATCGCGTGTGATGGAAAGTGGACGCCACTGTGCACCTGGTGGGCAATTGTGTCAGGACTCCCCGCTGTGGGCTGTGCTTGCTTGTGGCGCTTTTAATACTGATGTGGATTTGCTCTTTTTGACAGCAGCAGGCATGAGGGGTGGGGGAGGCAGGAGACAGGAAATCGAGGTGCGAGGACGTAAAGTGCAAGGGGAGAAGTTCCAGTGCACCTTCAAGATTAGACGGGTTTAAAAAAAAACTGAAAAATCTGACACATGAGCATGCATGGTTCAGGAGGAAAGCAAAAGGATAGAAAAATGAGGGGAGAATTCCATTCTTCTCTTTCTGGGAGTAATTAAAATATCCTAAAAACATGAGTTTGATTGACGAGGGAGAGGTGGGTGCAGAAAAAAAAAGGATGATGGGATTTCTCCCAGTCGACACGTGCATCTACCTTTCAGGAGCAGAGAAAGTGTCAGGCCCCACAGTAGAAATCTCAGTGAACCTGGACTGCAGCAATCGAGCAGGTGGAAGTAAAGACAGAACAGTTTCTGAGAGGGAAGCATGTTGTCGTTACAGTACTTGAGTCGTTTCTCGCGTTCCCACGCCGTTTGGCATTTCCAATGAGTGTGTCTGAGGTTTTAACTTCGGGGCTGCTACTGTACACGTCCCCAAAGTCCTTCTCCCTCGTTGTCTGTTCTCGGAGCCTGGCTCAGGTTTCTGCATCAGTTGGTGAAGGGTGTTCACATGTTGTAGGCCACGTAGATGGGGTCCAGTTGGTCAGCCAGGAAGGAGTCTCGTAGATGCATCCTCTGCTTCTCTCCCCGGGAGTTGATGGGGATCACCCCCGGGTCCACGATGACCACCACTCCGACGATGAGGTGGTGCTCCTCCAGGACCACGTTGGTGACGAGTGGCACCAGGTCCAAGGCCTCCTGCTCCGAGCCGCTAAGCTCCGCCACCACCACCAGCAGGTTGGTCCATGTAAACACGGCACTGCGAAGCGAGAAGTGGGAAAAGTTCAGGTTTCTGCTACTGTTCGCTACGAGGATCAACAACGCCACGTTAAGTGCACATCTGCTGCTCCTTACCTCTCTGCGATGCTGCGGTGGGCGCGGGACACGGACGTCTCGATGTCGATGGGGTGATAACGCAGCCCCCTCAACTCCAGCGTTTCATCCAGGGATCCCACCACAAACAAGGCATCATGGCGATCTGTGGCGGGGACAAAACTATTTGATTATTTACAGTTCCAACAATATAAAGTGTCTTGTTTTAAAGATCTGGCTACAACTGTGCAACCTGTAGATTAGGGTCCAATGTTGTGATGCATTTGTGATGAGAACTTTCAGTACAACCAAGCATTTACATTTTAAAGGGTTCAACACCAATTGCTTCTCCAAGTCATTGTTACATTATTACAATGTCACCAAATATCAAATGTCCTCTCACCTCCACTTGCATCCAGCAGCTCTGTTCTCTTGATGAAACCCAAGTAACTGGTCCTGGCCCACAGAGTTTGGGGCTCCCCAAAGCTGAGCCTGGTGTTGAAGTGGTCTGCCTGCAGGCTCTCCTCCCCATAAATGGTGTAGTAGCCACTGGCATTGTGTGGGCTGTTCACCCAAATCTGCACAAAAAAAAAAAAAAAAAAAAGACTTTCTGAATTACTTTGGCTGCTAAATTTTGACAAGAAGAGAGAAATTTGACTAAAAATCAACATAAAATAAATCTTTTCACTGTCGCCCTCTTTTACTCCGTGCCAGTGAAATCGGACGGTTTGTGGCACATGTTTGCGCACTCACCTCACCAAGATGCGAGTCCCCCAGTGGGCCTCTGGTCTCTGGGTTGACTATGATGACTCTCACTCCTGGTAGGATCTTCGAGAAGGAAATGAGAGGAGAATTTCACTTTAAGACTCCTTTAACCAACTCTTTTAGTGCTCTGGTTCTGTGGCCACAGTGAGCATCACATAAGTGAGTTTTACCAGTCAGTGATCAATACTTACAGTGCCCGACTCCATGAGTGGAAGACTCTGTGGCGCTCCTCTTTCCACTAGCCTCACCCTGAGGGACACAGAAAAGACAAGCCTGTCAGTCTTTCTGTTGTTGTCCACCAGCTGCACCACGTGACTAATGTGGTTGCCTTTGTGCTGCTTTATGAGAGTCTTCAGCCTTACCTGTCGTGACGCAGGGACTTCATGTCAACATAGACAGTGGAGGGGTCTGGTCCAGCAGTGCCCTAGTGACACGGGGGGGTAATACATTAAAAATAAAGTTTTTTAGCTTACAGAACATGAATAAGTTATTATCATAAGTTATTAACATTCAGTACATCTCCTTGTGCAGCTCAGATGACATGGTTTTTTATTTTTGTTGAGCAGAACCAAAAAAAAAAGCCTGATTTGGGTCAAAATGTCCTCATAAGACTGCATATTTGCGAAACCAACCTGAAGGCAGATGGCTAGGTTGACCCTCGAGCCAAAGGCGGTGCTGACGGCGCGAGGTGAAAGGCCGAGGTCTTTGAAGAGCTTGGAGAAGGACTGCGTGAGAGCGAGGCGAGGACGCTCCTCTGCTATCACCACACAGCTCCGCACGCACGACAGGTTCAGACCGCGCGCCTGCAGACACGAGCGGCTAAAGGTCACTCACTTTTAACAGGTGTAGACGGTAGCTTGACGCAAACATGGACTCTGCATTACTGAACATTTTCATCCAAAGCAGAAGGAAAACCGAATGAGGACAGATAAAGGATAAAATGAAGATGAGCACAGACAGAGACAGATAGTGATTTTAAAACAGATATGATACATGTAAGGCCCATAACGCTGTAAACATACAATCTACTTAATTAGCATGCTAGCTCGCTGGCAGGTGATCTGTCTGAATGAATAGGTGAATCATTTTTTAAGCCTGAGACAGGTGTTTATTACTCTGCTTCACAGCAGTAATATTTTCTGTCATAAAGTAATTTATCACTGTGTTGTTTCTCAGAGTAACAACAGAAATGACAGCACGGTAATCTGAGAGGAGGAACCACATCTGGGAGATTATGTGAGTGTGTTTGTGACCTTCAGCATCTCCGTCTGGGTGCCCAGGCCTTTGGTGCAGAGCTCCATGACAGAATACGAGCAAAAGGTGTCTCTGATCTTGTACTGACTGAGCGTGCTCAGCCACACAGGCAGCGAGCTCTCCAGCTCCAGGGGAGGGATAAGGATGGACTGGTGACCTGAGTAAACACTGGAAACGAGAGAAAACTGTCAGCAACAGCAAAGCTGTGTGTTACAAGAATAATGGCATTCTGTCTTTATGTTTGTGTTGGAATTACCTGGAGAGGCACCAGAGGACGAAGCCCAGGCCACAGTATGGGTCCAGGCAGATGGCTACTTGGCGTGAGGAGTAGAGCTCACACTGCAGTTTAATGGAGCGGCACAGAGTGCTGACCGCAGCGTGAGACATCTGAAGAAGCAGAGAAACTTTTAAGAAATCCACCAGACTCACTCCATTAAACTTCACCTCATTAGTATGATTTTAATACCTCAATATGTATCAATAAAGACGTAGTTTGATGACCATTAGAACAGGTAGCATGTTAGAGTTAAAAATGTGTATTCTTCTTTCAGCTGCTCGTTCTAGGGGTCACCACAGCAGAACATCTTTCTCCATCTCACCCTATTCTCTAGCATCCTCCCCTCTCATATGCAGGGGCTTGCAAAAGTATTCGTCCCCCTTGAACTTTTCCACATTTTGTCACATTACAGCCACAAACATGAATCAATTTTATTGGAATTCCAGGTGAAAGACCAACACAAAGTGGTGCACACCTGAGAAGTGGAACGAAAATCATAAATGATTCCAAACAGTTTTTACAAATAAATAGCTGCAAAGTGGGGTGTGCGTAATTATTCAGTGTCATCTCCACCCACTCTACCCTGCCTGCACTCTCATCTTCACCGCTCTTTCTTGCTTTGCATGGTTTACCCTCAGGTATTTAAACTCATATACCTTCAATATCTCCACTCCTCTGTTGTATATAAAATCTGATCTAAATTAACCATTTCTTACATGTCTTTTAACCTCATAAAATCAACAGGCTCGTACTAAAGATTTGGCAAATCGCACAAGTTTTTCTTTTCATTTCTACGATACAGTGAAAAACAATCATAAGAAATTTCAACAACTTTTATTGGCAAATAAATCAGATTTATGCAAACAGTGTTTAGAGGTCCTTATTCTAATAAGTTCTGCTGTTCTCTGTGGCAAGTTGGACATCAGCTTCTGGGCCAATTCCCGCTTTAGCAATGCTCAAAGCTGACTGCAGTTTTGTGGGCTTCTGCCTGACCACACTAAAAGCTTCCTCAAAGAATAACTTCTTCCTCCACCAAAGGAGCACTTTAATGCTTTGTGCATTTTCCAGCATGATGGATGTCTCCAGCACCACGTCTCAAGGCAAAAGTGATAACTTAGTGGCTCTGAGATCATCAAATTAACATTTCAGAGCCACAGCCAGGAAATTCCCCAGATGTTCATGCGATCAAGAATCTATGGTCAGCCCTAAAAAAGTGCGTGAATAAGCAGAAGCCCACAAACAACCTCAATACCAATGAGGCAGGAGTGAATCAGCTTAGGAGACGGACAGTCAGCATCCCAAAATGTCAGCACACTGTAAATACTGACTGTAGGCATAAATTTGATTTATTAACCAATAAAAAAATTTGAATGTCATTTTAACTGCACAAATGTCCTTCACTATATCATAAAAACAAACAAAGTAGACAATTTGTGCAACTACCAAATATTTTTGGCCATGTCTGTGTAAATATGAAAATATTTAATCTCTGTGTCATAATTCTGTTGTCAATACACTGAACTAGACCAGCTGGGTGAAGGTCAAACATCCAAGAGAAGACACAGAAGCAGAAAATTAAACATTTTCTGGCTAGAGAAATTCATATAAAAAATAAAAAAAATGAAATCACAGTCATTTCTGTTTGTTTGTTATTATTATTTTTGGAGTATGTACAGGATTTGTGGGAGTAATCTACCTTGACTCCAGTCAGCATGCCTGTGGTGGACACACTGAAGTCCAGATAGGCTAGCATCTCAGCTGTAGGAGGTTTGTAGATGTGTGGAGGCCGCTTTCTTGGAAGATCATCTGTAATGCGAGCGAAGTGAATTTATGTTATGTCTTTATTGGACAAAATAAATCAAATACTTCTTGCTAATACATCTTGCTCTTAATGCTACAGTCTGATAATAGTCTGGTTGAAAGGGAAGGTGATATCATTTCACGTGTAATTTTATCCTTTCAATGCACATATTAAAAATCCATACTTTTACTTTTAACTCACTGCAACACTCTTATCTTCAGAAATGAGAGCTTAAAATAACTGAAACGTACTGTACATGTCTGAAGTTAGTCAAAGCACAAACAGTGTCTATTTCAAGCCAAACCTGCTAGCATCTAAATACGTGCACAAACGCAGCGACACCCAGCTGCTGCACGTTACTCTAAAGGCTTTCCTAATTCAGTCACCTGTATCAATGATCGTGGGCCACGTTTTGACATTGACGCTGGCAGCCGCCTCCCTGGACCTGAGGATCCTCATGAGAGGCTGTGTGGTGAGGATGCAGGCTGCTTTGCTCACCTGTGGCACACAACACAGAGCACAGACGCGGTCGTTTAGAGCCACAGATTAATGTGAAGCATTCAGTTATTGATATTTCATTGATCTCCAAAGTAAAGCCCAATTTCATTTGCTTTGCCTCAGGGAAATCAGTTATAGTGGCCAACAGAAGTATTCATTTCATTAGTGAAGGGCACTTCCGTTGATGTGATAGTTTATTAAAGTGGCGGCTAAAAAAGCTTCATATTTGTTTTAAGGTCAGCGATGCATATTTCAGTACATGAAAGTGATCCAGTATGGACAGTGCAATGTCATAACTGTGCTTTTGTCTCCGTTGCTGTTTGTCTGTCTATTCAAACAGCTCGATTTTCAGGGAAATTGGGAATAAGGAACCCTAGCTGTGATTGTGGATCACTTAAAAACAAAAACAAAGAAAAATGATGTATTTGCATTAGAGAAGACTCACAGAACTGTGTTCTCATTGTGAACTACTAGTTTTAGATAAATCATTACAAAATTAAGTGAAAAAAAATTAAACTGAAAATGAAAAATGAGCGTAGAATAAGTACAAAAACAGTTTAAATACTACTCAATGTACTCAAATAATTCCACATACATTACTCCATTATACTGTGGAAATACTCGAGTAAAAAAAAAAAAAAAAAAGCTGTGGTGAAGTGCACTCACGTCAATGATCATGCGGACAGTGGGGAGAGTAGCAGCCAGATTCTGTGGGTGGGGCGGCCTCACAGTCACAGGGATGACCCCCGCGTAGAGACAGCCATAGAAGGCGGCTATCAGGTCGATACCTGCAGGAGGAGGAGACGGGAACCTGGTTGAACTACGACGCCGTTAAAATACTACATTAAACAACAGCACTTTTACATATTATTTGATATGAAAAACTAGGAAGAGTTGAAACGTATAATAACGGCGTGCATACCCGGGGGATAAAGCAGCACCACGTTGTCTCCTGTGTTGAGACCTCCTCTCTCCATCAGGGTAGCTGTGATTTTCTCTGCTCTCTTGTGTAGCTGAGCACAAGTTGCTGTGCACACTGCTACCCCCTAGAGCAAAAACAGTGCTGGTACAGATGATCTCATACAACAAAATGGATCACCATTTACAGAGTGGCACCATTTCCGAGGTAAAAGAAAGGTAATGGTGCACGCCACGTATGCGCACGTTTCTTATGTTTACTGTATGCTCATGTTTAGCCTACCTTAGCATTGAGCAGCACGTATAAAACATGGTCAGGGTCCATTTGGGCTCTCCACTGCAGAGCTTCAGACAAGAACTGGTGCTGAAAAGGCAAAGAAAGGAATCGCTCATTACATACGCATCACAGATGGATGATTAAACACACAAACAATGTTTTAATGCACAGATATAATTACACAAAGCGGCACTGTTGGCAAATAATAACTTATTTGAAAGTGATTAAAGAGAAAAATATTTTAAAGCCTGTCTTCAAAATAACAAATAAATATATAATCAGTCCTCTCTGTGACAGATTTGTTCATTTTAAACAGAAAACACTTTAAAGTACGTCAAGGACACAGTGTGACGCAACAGGAGCACAGAGGTGTCCAGAGTATTTGGGTTTTTTAAGTTGTGAAAGGTCATGCTGGGACCATCTGCACCAGGAAGGAGGCAAACTGGAGCCACAAGCTCACAATCTGTGGGCCTTTAAAACAAAGGGGTCATGACAACTTTGATTAAAAACAAAAAGTTTCTGCTAGTCCCTCAGAATGCTGTTTCTTAAATAAAGGCACTTCACAAGATTTACGCAGTTACATAAATGAGTATTAATAGAACTATTAATATATTAATGTCATTAGCATCTCAATCTGTGGTGTCAAAAAGCCGAGGAAGCAGTGCACCAGACACACAAGGACAGGACCTGAAAGTAAAGAATCCCTTTACAAGACAGAAGCCAGGTGACCACTAGGAAGCACGTAAAAAACAAACATTAAAAAAAACAAGTAAAGATAACAGACGTACAGGGATATTCAGCAGTATCGCACCGTCAGACACTGGAAAAGTAATCGTTTGTGCGTCGTGCTCTGGTCAACAATGAGTGAGGAGTCACATCATGCAGACCAGCTGCCCTGGCAACTCATAAAGCCATGCTGCACGTGGGAGCGTCACAGTGAACACAGGAAGCAGAGGTGCACGTCAAAATACTTCTAATATTCTAATTCGTACTAATGCGCAGGATATACGTATAGTGCATCACAGTATATTATTAGAACATCTTCTGCAGTTATATATGCTAAGTGACAGATTATAATTGCTTAAGCCTTGCACTTGCACATTTTGTAAAAGATAAGAAACTTCTTCTCACTCAGAGGAGATCAATGTCTTAATTCATTGCTGACTTTTTGGTCTGGCAAAGCTGCAGCAGGCTGCTGGCCAACTCCAGGCTTAAAATAAGATGGCGACGTGGGACTATTAAATAAGGCCCGGATGAATGTAGGATGTGACCTCATTTGTAATGTGCTGCTGTATATTAGTTTTAATGTGTGGACCTCTGCTGGACAAGGAAGCTAGCCTGCACGGTCATCTCGCCGGGCTAAGCTGTACCTGGTGGCCGTCAGGTTATCACAGCTGACTGACAGAAGCAGCATGAGCAAAGAGGCGGGTGGGAGGGATGCAGGGGGGAGGGGAGGCCAGACTAGAGCCTTACCATCATGGTGGGCCACATACAGAGCTAAAGCCCAACCCAAGCAAAGTAAAGGCAGAACAACAACAGAGATTTAGGATAAGGCATCAGCAGTCATACTGCCTGACAGACGCAGGCTCATCTCATTAAACCTGCATTCATGGCATGTTTACACATCAGTTTACCTTACCAGCTTAATTTGAACAGGTTTGTATGACATTAAAATGATTAAAGAATTTGATAATTTTCCAGTTACTACATTAAATAAGCATTTTTTTTTTATCCAAAATCCAAACAAGTTCAAGCTTATAATAATGTCAATACAGCAATCTGAACAAAACACTTGCTCATTAATCTTCTGCCATCTATAAAGCAACCATTGCAGTTTTGCTATAGCGTGCAAATCTTTTATTAATGGTCTCACTGTGCAGGTGTTGTACACATCATAGACACTGACTCCTTTAGATATTAAGGCAATTCAAATTCCTACAAACTAAACTGGTGAAAAACTGTGCTGCACTCTGCTAAATCCACTACTAGACCTCATATGAAATCAGTGGAGTTTGGTCTGTGTGGCAGTACCTTTCGAATGAGATCCTGGTCCTCCACCACGCCCAGCTCTCTCCCTATAGCCTGGGCGATCCGTTTCCCTGCCACCAAGTTGCCAACCAGCATAGAAGCTGGACCAACGTCCACTGAGGAAATCAGAAACAATCAAGAGTCGGTTACACAACGACAAACTTTCAACTGCCAGCTGATGGCACATCCTCATTATTTCTAGCTCCCTCTTCATGCTACAGCTTTATATTGTATACAAGCATGATTCCATAATGTCTAAGACAACCCACCTGGCTGTTTCTGCCGGGGCTTGGGCAGGTTTGTAACACAGGTGTGTGGGCACATGAGGATATTACAGGGGTGAAGGTTTCCCTCCAAAAAGTTCTGCTTGGTTTCACAGATGTGGATGCCTCCCAGAGGCGTCTTTGGGAGGGTGTTGGCTGGGACGAGCGCGAGACAGTACAGGCCAACCTGGTGGATACTGTCAATGGCCTAAAGATGGAACATGCATCAAGTACACGTTAATACAGAATAACATAATATTAATCAAGATGATATGAGCAGATGTGTGGTTCACCTGCAGCACTCGACTCATCCACTGGAAGCTGTCTTCTTCACTGGCATCGGGCCTCTGCTCTGCCACAATCACTATCCTCTCATCATAAAACACCGTCACAGAAAACACTGCGATCCTGCACAGATGCCAACAGAGAAGTGAGTGCAAACACACAGCTAGACAAAGAAACCAGCAGAAGCTGCAGGATGCTGAAGGGATTTTTACTAATTACCAATTAAATATCACTAAATTATCCCTGCTCACATGTGTGCGTCGCTAGAACATTCTTACTCAGTGTGCATTATGAAGTAATGTAATGCATGAACACACATGCTGGGAGCACAGTGAAACCTCACTGTGGTTCACAGCGGCCTGTCAGTGTCTCACCTCCCCCTGTAAACTGTTTTGACCGGCTCCACTGCTAGCGCCGTGGCCACCAGGTCGTCTGCATTGTGCCGTCGCCCGCTCACCATCAGGAGCCCCTCAATCTTTCCCACAACAAATACCAGACTCCCCTGTGGAGCAGACATATTTAACTCAGCACAGACATCCCAATTGCAGAGTACTGGAACTACTGTAATTGTGCATGAGCGACCTACCGGTCCCACGAATCCAAGCAGGCCAGTTCGAGTGAAGGGAATTTCTCCAACGGGCGCTCCGGCTTGATTTACTGGAATCACCTAGAAATTAGCACAGATGAGAGAGACAAGTGTCATAAACACAGCACAGATTGCATTTCAAGGGTAAATATACTGCATACCCCAAAATACTGCAGTTGTAGTAGTACAACATAGTATAAGCCAAAAGAAACACTTAGTGGGTTCTATTAATAAAAATAATGGGACAATATTTAAACCATGAAGTCTATAAAGCATTTTATTAGTAAATAAGGAAATAGAAATAAAGCAATTATTCAGTGACGTCTGTGGCTCCATCTAGTGGGTAATTTAAAACTAGTACTCCTTTTCCATGAGTCCATATTTTAAATACACAAGGTCAAACAAGAAGGGACGGAGCTCATTATAGCAGAGAGGGGACGTACGGAGACTGATGTAAACTTCATATCATGTCTCATTCCACTAATTCAAAAGCCACAGCATGTTGTACCTTTTTAAGCCATCAACATTTACCATTTTAAAAGTAAATGTTGGTACAAAGCTGTAATTTGTGTGACAACATTAAACCTGTGACAGACCTCAAATGTGTTTTTGGTGACACCCGGTAGGCCGTAGTACATGGTGCCTCCAGCACGTGAGTTGATCACGATCTCTCCTATCTCGTCCGTCTTGCACAGCTGAGGAGATCCCTCTGGCTTCACAATGCACATCAGAGCTGAAACAAACAAAAACAGGTCAAAACATTAGAATTATGTAGACTTGAGCTTCTGTATTCTAAAAGAAAGGCCATACAGTCAGAATGTACAGTAAAGATGTGACAGCTGCTGCACTTCTGCACTGCCAATTACACCTAACAGTTGTGGCTAACCTCCAGGCATAATGTGACCCACATCCTGTACAGTCAGAGCAGAGTTCTTGTCTTCTGTGTTCACCCGGATCACTCCGTGGCTCAGCCCGCCCATGGACAGGATGGCCCTGGCTGGCAGCGGAGCACCTCGCGCACCTGGCCTGTACAAGGTAAAAAAAATGTACATGCTTTTAACTTTTTATTCTGAAAAGTGTATTTTTCCATTTTCATGACCCATACTATTTGCGAGTAATTGCTGCATCCCTATGAATATTTACAGATTTCATGCATTTTCAATAAAGGACGTCTCGGTTAAATTTAACTGTATAAATTTTGTTCTCACAGAGATGAACAAATTTATCCCTGTATGTGTGAAAAGCACATGTCTCTCTGTTTATCTCTTTGCTCGTGTGGTTCACGTTGTACCTGCGGATGGCCACAGTCAGGGCCTCGGGAGAGGTGGCACACGGACAGATGACCTCAGGCTTCAGACCATGAGACTGGAACACATTCAGGAAAGCATCACACGAGGACACAGACCCTGAAGGTAAACAAAGGGTGAAAACATTAACAAAAGTAGGTAAAAGCAGCTTAAACCCACAGCACAACATTTTAAAATGGCCATGTATAGTGACTGTTTATTACATTAGTTACTCACATGGGTTGGCTCCATCAGCTACTATAAGCATGCGTATTGAAGACAAGTTGATGTCTTTCTGTTCTTTATGGGCCATCATGGCCCAATGGAGGTCACGGCACTTCACCAAGGCCACACGTGCTATGAGAGGGTAAGAAAAAGCCCTTAAGCATCATTTCTCTACTGTTTTCTTATTAAAACTTTTTTTCTAACATTATTATTATCCTAGCAGTCTGTAAAATACTCTGTCTTATTAATATTGTTTGCTTATTAACTAAGCAAACATAGTAAAATTATAAGAATATGGAGTATAAAAGAAAGAACATTTGGCTCAACCTTTGTGAATGTGAACCCTTTGCACCCAGGACATGGGACAGGCCTTCATGACAGCATATGGCACAGTAATGGTGTGAATTCTGTTCATGACACTCTGCAGGGAAGGAAAAAATATATAAAAACCAACAGTGTCAATAACATACTGTACCACACACCAAATAAAGGGCATCTAGTCAGCAGCAGAAACATCCAGTCTCACCGTTAAGACGCCATGCCACAAGCCCATATCTTTCTTACAGTCCAACACATTGACCAGTGTCTCCCCTAAGATAGAAAACACATGAGCAAATGAGTGCGTTCACCAGCTTCAAGTCCACAAAGTTACATGCAGTGTTTTATAGTCTCTGACCTTCACAGTAGTTACAGGCTTGTGTCAAAGCTTGACAGTGAGTCAGCATGGCGATCTTGGACACAGCGACTCCCATCACTGTTCCCTCCTTACTCGCTTTGTACTTCAGCGAGAAACAAACACACAGACAAACACACAGATGTCAACAACGTGTCAAAATTAATATCAGAGTCAAATAATAGTGTGCGAGTTACAGAAGATACATAATTGAATATATAACAGTTTACTAAAGATAAACTGAATCTAAATTAGAATGCAGAAATTAGAAATGCATTGAACTGCCTACCTCTATGTAGGCAGTGTCTGTGTTGGCAGTGGGAATGTGAGGCTGCCAGTCTTTGGATGGTTTGGTCAGGTACTTAGTGTCGGTCACTACCCATTTCATCCTTGGCCAACCTGCAACACGCAGACACAAAGAGCATGGAGCACACAAAAACTATTACAGCTGTCATTAGGAAAAAAGCTGCACTAATTACACTAATTTTGCAATAAAATGAAAGCATCCAGAGATGATTCCTGATGAGCCAGCAGCATTAGCAGAGGCAGTTTAGTCTTGCTGACCTTTGAACTGGATGATCTCTCCATTTTGTGTCTTGGGCAGCCCTTTGAGACACACCTCACTGGTCAACGCCAAACTCACACCACAGCTGCCCAACAGGAAGCCAATCTGCTGGCTCCCTGCATCCTATGAAAAGAGGCTTAGGTCAGGAAACTTCAACTCACAAGGACAGGCAAGCAGACAAAACTGTGACAACTAAAAGAAATAATAATAATAATAATAATAATAATAATAATAATAATATACTGGTGAGGCTCTCATTATCATAAACCATGCATTTGGTCCTAAACATGTGGAGCATTTTTCAGAAATCCCACAGAAGAACTGCTATGAAAACAGGTATATTTACCTGTCGGGACAGCGGCACCTCAATAGGCACAGGGATGACTTCAGCTAACAGACAGCCATAAAAGGCCACCCAGAACATGCCAGGATCACTGTTTGGATACACCAATGCCACCTAAGAAGCAGAGGAAATGATTTTCCTCGTCGTGCTACTTTACAATTTACTTAGGAAGAAATGACTGACAAACTCTTACTCGATCTCCAGGTTGAAGGACAGGCTCAGTCTTTGTGCCCAGTTTATTCAGAAGGGTATAGGCCAGTTTCAGACTGCGACTCCACAGTTTACCTATACAGGTTAAAAAAGAAAAGAAAAATGTCATCTTGTTTTCCACAGGCCAGATTTCTTGCTGTTAAATTGCTGTGTATTATTGTTGCATAACTGTTCCATGATCGCTTAACTTCCCAACCCACTATGGGTCCACACTGGAGGCAATGTAATGTGGGAGTTGTTCTACTCGGGCCAACAAATATTTCTTCCTTTGATCCAGCTCATATGCAAAAAATATACCTGACATTTATAGAGTGGACACAACAATACAGACACCCATATTTGTGCTCAAAATCGACTTTAATATTCCTACGAGGCAACGTGTCGCTCACCATATGTGAGTGTGTAGAGTGGTTTGCCAGTGATGTCCAGGGCAGTGAGGGCAGGGCTCTTGGCCTGAGTGGCCCCCCAGCGGGCAAGGGCAGCCTGCAGGGCAGGAGGCCAGTTACTGACCACCCCAAGGGGCTCCCCCTTCACTGGGATGATTTGACGTCCCTCAGGCTTCGGGGTGTTGGGGTCCGGTTGGGGAACTAGGCATGAGAATCGGCAAGCAAGAAACTGTGAGTACTGGGTGTAACGCTGTAACACTGTGGTGTCACAACACTCTGGGTGACTTCCTAAAGAAGTGAAAACCCTTTTCAAAACAACCAAGAGGATTTCTGTGCTGCAGTACACACAACGGTGAAAATCAAGCATGACATATTGTGTTATGTGCCACACCTTCTACGATTTCCTCAGAGTCATCGAGGAAGAATTCGCTGAGCGGCGGTCTTTTGGGTCGTTTGAGTGTGTTCAACAGCTGCTGGATCTTAGTGGACACCCTGCTGCTGACAGGCACGCCTGGACAAACACCGAGAGCAGCCGCCGTCACCAACATATGCAAACAAACAATGACACGCAGACACCCACACATGCAAGTTTATTCAAACATGAATCTCTACTTTAACACACGCTCTCTCGCTCACACAGGCAGTAACCTACGCACTAGCACAGTCAGGAACAGAATCAGCAGCAGGAAAAATTTGAAAGGGAAATTTGCACACAAGGAGACACAGAGTGGACAATTCTTTCAGGAAAATACTATAAAGGAAGATTTCTACTTCTACACCTACAGCATGAGACAAACGTAAAGAGAGGTAGATATCAGGATGGAAAGCAAGCTACTTGGGGCCTCTTCGGCATCCCTCCCCTTCCCCAGGTTCGATGTATATTACCTTTTCTTTTTCCTTTTTTAAATCAAAGTCAAGACAGGGACAGGATTAATGGACCCAAAAGAAAGAACACAAAATATCGGTCGTTAGCAGCATTCACCACACAGTGACATGAGGATGATGTTGAAGGTGATCGAGGATGAACATGGGTAGATTGTATGTTGATTGGAACACATTCAATCACTTTTCTCACTGCAATGCTTTGAACCACACAGTCAATGCAAAACAGTAAAACATCGTCCGATGTCATGATTAGAATACCAAAATGACTGAACTGCTTGAAATGAGGAAAGAACCAAAAGACAGTCACCCAGATTCCAAATATTTCAGAAAATGAAGAATACTTTAGAGGTTTTTCTCCCCACATAAAACTTTATACATATTTGTACCACAGCCAGACGTTAACAGACATTCTGGCTTAAGTGAGTGTACCGTCAGCAGTATCCAGCATGCTGGAGCGGCTCTGTCCACGGCTCATGCCCCTGACTGCTGGGGGAAGATCCACCCTGGACCCTCTGTCTTGAGAAGCAGAGGACGTCACATCTGGGGGGACACTGTTTTCTGTTAGGGCGGAGAAAAATAGCATCATCAATGGCAGTGACACCATCACTGAGATTTATGGATCAACGCTGGGAGTTCTCCACCAGGACAGTTTACCAATGCGTGTGTGGGCTAGCACGTCAGCTAACAAGGAAGCAGCAGGCTGAGGCTGGGGCTGGGGCTGACTCTTGGGCTCTCCATGGGAGAGGGTGGAGGAAGCAGATGAGGATGTGGAAGAGCTTTGGACGGAGCGGTTGATCCAGTAGTCGGGGCTCTGCAGGGTCTGAGCTAGTGCTGCACTGAGTGCTGCCTTTCTGCGCAGTGAGCCTTCATCCTCTGATGCAGAAGATGTGTCTAAGAGTAAGAGAAAACGTGAAAGAAATTATAATTCAATAACTTTTAATGTTTTGGTGAGGGTATTTTTTAGGAGCTACAATCACCAGCAACCATCTGATCTCAGAGTGGGTGGAACCAAGCTTACCTGGAGGTGTGCAGGTATCTATGGGAGACTGGACAAAGGCTGAGCGCCTCTTGGTTGGCATGGGAAGAGCCATTTTCTCCTCTTTATGTTTGGCCAGTGCTGCCTGGACAGCTTCTGTATGGATGTCTACATAAATATAGAATAGAGAATAACCCGAGTGAGAAAAACAACAAGGACAGAACCTGTGAACTTCAGGTTAGTGATCATGATCAATTCTCTGGACAATGGAAAAATCCAACTAACTCAGTGATTATATCCAAGGAGAATTATAGATTTACAGAGGTTGATAAGGTCTCTTGGAGAAATTTCTGTCACCCTCAGATGATAAGGATGTTTAGGAACAACCCAGGAACCACCGAGGCTCGCGCCTGCCATGAAGTGGAAATTGCTGGAGCACCAGGTTATGCCATTAGCGCGCCAACGTTAAACCCCGTTGAAAGTTTGTGAGGATATAGCTCCCAAATAAATGAAATTCTATAATTGTTTTAACAATTAAAGTTAAAACAATGACTTGAATTGTTTGCATTCATTCCACTCTTGTTGTACCTTCATTCCAAATCAAAGAAACTATTTAAAGGTAAACTCCGTGATGTAAACTTTTGACCCCAACTGTACCTGTGTGCTTTTGTAGTGAATTTTGTGCTGCATACCTGATCTGTAGCGCTCGTCCCTGGCGCCTCCGCTGCGGTGTGAACGATGGTGTCTGGAGGCTGAAGAGGTGGAGGGGCCCGGGGCCTCAGGACTGGGGCTAGGGTCGGCACTGCGGCTCGGGGAAAGCTGCACATCTGGTAGAGGCAGATCCACATCTACAGAACAGAGCCCAGCATGTGAAAAGTCAATAAAAGTCTATATTTAGGGGACCATTAATAAAAGCAAAACAAACAATCTAACATGAGATCCAGGAAATTCAGACAAACAGAGCACACGTTGCTTTACATAATGCTATTACAGCAACGTGTAGGCATAAATATTATATGACCTTCTCTGAAGCTCTCCAAATTTAGCCTCATACAGAGCCTGTGAACAGTGAAATAAGGACATGTACTTGACTGATGCAAGTTATACTGCTAACAGAGTACATGAAACTGGGTTACATTTATATTTTTAGTCAACTGTCTTTTCGTCCCGGAGGGAACTGGGTAACTGAGTCCCTGAGGAGATGATGGTTTTGAGGGATAACAGGACGAGTGAAGGAGCACACGGTCACCCCTGGAGATTCAAAGCTTTCTGGTGTATGCTCTGACATTCAAAGCAAGCTGCCAGCAAAAGTCAAACGAAAGCAAAAATCACTAAAAACAACGGGACTGAAATCTAGATTTATATACGATCTTTGCGTGTAATCACAAATGTTTTGGCAGCACAAGTCAAAACAAAGGTTAAACTAGAGGAAAGGGAAGTGTAGTGGTGCTCTCTTTTTTTTCTTTTTTCTTTTTTTTAAATAGCTTAAAGTGACACATCGAGAACGATGTTTTTTTCATGCCGCTGCTAGCATGGTGCAATACTTTCCGAAGGAAACACCACACCCTTGCTTGAGGAAACTGACAGACAAATCAGTTTGTCTGTCACATAGTAACACAGAGAAGCTTTAGTACTTCCCCACAGCTGTAAACTGAAACCAGTTTCAGAATGTATCACATTTACTGGGTACGCACTAAATACAGCAGAAAGTCTGACAGGAACTATGGGTTTGTGCATCCGTGGCTTACCTGTGGTGATGCAGTTATTAAAGATATTTGTGCATCACTGGTTACCTTATGTGCAATTCTCATTTTGGCCACTAGAGTGCCACAGAAAGCCAGAAATTATGTTGCTAACTTGGACAAAGACAATCAACACTCACACTGAGAAGTCAGTCAAGTTTCTTCTCAAAGAAATGAAAAAAGGAAAAAAGTACAATACGACATAAAGAATCCATTTTTTGCCTCCGTTGTTCTTTTCACATGTGAAAGAATAATCAGCTCAAATGTAAATTTGAGGAATCTTCTTATGCAATCTAGCCTCGTTTTGCTTTTCAGCCTGAACAACAATAACAATGCTGACAGGGGAGGCGGAAAAAAAAAACACAAATGGAGAAAAAGAAGAAGGAAGGCTTTAATGCAACATGAAAAAATTCCAAGATCAGAAGAAGAACTGGTCTTACTTGGCAAATGGGAGATGTAGGAGGCCAGCAGCTTGGCTCTCTTCTTCTCATAGCCCTTCTGCGTGATGTCACCTAGGAGAGAGGACAGCAACACCAAACTGTTAGGTTAGTCATAATTACCACACAAACTCCAGACAACTACGTACACACAGACACACACATGTACAGCCTCTGCTTTCACTAATACATTTTCAGAGGGTTGAGTCATAATAATAATAATAATCCACTTTAAACCAAATCCACTGAACTCCACATGCTGACAGCTAAGTCCATTTACAACAAGGCGAAGAGATAACGCCATTGTTTGGCCTTACATTAGCCCCAGTGAATAAACATGCCTGCTGGCTATAAAACCCAAGTATGATTCCACTGAGCCGCACGTAACCAGGCAGAGAACAGTGCCAAAACATTGGGAATAGTTGGGATGGTAAGCAGAGCAAAAAAGGAAGCCATGTGAGCCAGTTTCACATGGGACTCGGTCATTTATCTGTCCCGACCTTTTCCCACTGTAGACCCAGCACCACCCCTTCCTCATTCGGCCTCGGCCTGGCAGGATTCCCAGTGATACTAGAGTGTGTTAGAGAGCCGCACAGGCCTGACAAAGTCCATTAAACTGGGACCCCAAAACACACAGTCTGCTCACTGCAAACATGCATGAAAGACACACCCTTACATACACACACTCCCCTTGAAAACACAAACAATCCTAATGCTACAATCTCCCACACGCTCTCTGTTAGTCGCCTTCTTTTGCTTAACCTCAATCTCCTGACACCTCCTCCACACTGACCAGTGACAATGAGGGGGACCTACCGGGGGGGGGGGGGGGGGCTGAAAGTCACTAGCAGCAACAGGGAATGCAGACCAGTGTGTGCATTAAGCAACAATGAAAGAAAATAAGGAGAGAAACGGTGAGCCAAGGTTCAGCAGGGAGACCGGAGGGAGGTGTGCTGGATAAGCCGGGGCTGGGTGGGGAGTTTCGTGTGTGACTGAGATAGAGTGTGTTTTTTCTTAAAGTTTTCTCACACTCTGGTCACTATCCAGTGGAGTGTAGGATTTGCTTGTATAAACAAGAGAATCAGAAAGGAAGTCCCCTCTATGATTGTGTGTGTGCCTGCCAGAATGAGTTAAATATGAGACTTCTTTTTTTTAATCCTTCCGATACAATTTGTAGGTTTCACAACACTCATATTAAGAGAAGCAGAGTAAAAGTGAATAACCTTCGTAGAGAAAAAGCCAACAAAACAAAGTTGAACAGTTTTAGAGTGAAAGGCAGTGTGTGACTGAGTGCCGAGTGCTTTGTCTTTCCCTCTGTGCAGGGGAGCAAAAAGAAAAAAATGGGGATGGCAAGCATTCAGCTTGGAGTTCATGCCTGGGTTCACACACTAGGCTGAAATTCAGACACAGCAGCTTGTTGCAGTCTTTGTTTCTCCATCTCTCTAGCATGCTACAGACTTGTTTATACACAGGAAAACACTCATAGGCAGACATGCAAGCGAGACAATCAGCAGCAACTTGATTGTAGTGGACTGGAGCAGTTATTGTTGTCGGAGACAAGGTTACGCCAAGCCCAGTCCTGGTGCCCAATTGGTGCCGGGAGGGAAGAAGGGGAAGAGATGGAAAGATGGACGGAGCGCCGTCGGTCATTAACGCAGACAGAAGAGAGTCTGTGCTGGTGTCGGGCAAGTACAACAGACACGGATTGGCACAGGCACACCAGCTATGTGGCTGGCAGTGGGAGGAAAGACACTGAAAGGCTCTGGGTTTAAAGACTGACTGTGACAGCTGGTTCAAAACAGAGAAAAAGCTGTATGTGTTAAGTGCAAGAATGTGGTGTTTTTGAGTGTGAGCATGAACAAAAACAGTACAGTAACTGTGTGTAATCTGAGGTCAGGGGACAGGATATGAGCATTACCCCACCCTGTGTGTGTGCTGCCAAAATCGTCTCACTGTGTCTGTCTAGAGAAAGAGGAATGTGCTGATTGGAAAACACCATACTAACAGAGAGGGCCAACTGGCCAAGAGAGAATGCTCATAGTTCCAAAAATGTCCCTGAGGTGCAGGAAGCTAATGTATCTGTGCATGTGTATGTGTGTATACACAGCTGGGGCAGGTTAAAGGGCGCTTCAGCACACAAGAGAATGAATGCTGACAGGGCCTGAGGTGTACTGGCACTACAGGCCTTCCCTGTGAGATGTGTGTCAGTATGTCAAACCAGGAATGCGTACTTCGTCCAAGGATCGGCTGAACCTGCCCAGCATGCTGTGATAGAGGCACAGTATCACCAATGAATGCATCTTTAAGAGCATATTAAAAATGTGTGACAAATCTCACATCTATAAGCAATTATCAGTCCTTCTCCTTGGCAGCCAGACCTTCTAACTGACTGTTTTTTTGTGTTAATCGTGCTGTTTGTGACATTTTCAGAGCTCATTCAAGACCAGATGACAGTGACCCTGTGAGGCTTCTTTTAAAATATCCGATGTTGACCTCATACTTCAAGACAAGTCATACAGTGGACTGATCTCCTAATAGCTGGCAGCGCAGGGTCACAGAGGGGATAAACACACTCACATGAACGGCATTCCCAGCCACACTGATAACTGCGGAGGGCTACAACTTTTTCTGACACAGTAGGGGATTACGGAGCACTTCAGATTTAATCTGCACTGGCATTCTCCACTATGATCTGGCACATTAGAGCCATTTGAGGTTTTGGAGATTAACTGTTTATGTGTGCACTGTGCATCACTCCACGCGTACACATCTTGATCTTGTTGTCAGGGTGTTTTCCTGGAGGCTCCGATTGGGTCTTAGACAGGTAGCAACACACAAAGGAAATTTTCTTTCTAGTTATTTCTGATCATTTGTGAATAAAACCTCAAACTGTTACAACGATGATTACTTTCCTGTGGGTTCTTTGCTAAAGCCTCCCTGGGAGGAGGCCACAGGAGAACACCCTGGTTGTGATTTCGACTTATATGTGGCGTGACATACGCTCGAAAAAGCAGAAAAAAGATATTTTTATGAACCTGTGAAAGAGGATAAAGTCAATGGACGCCTACAGCACTGTGTGCCCCGTAACCGTGTCAAATCAAATCCAAGAACTGAAACCATCGTGAACAGTGAATTTCTCTCTGACGACATGGCTGGGCATTAAGCATTCATGACATAACATTTGCTCCCTGTGGTTTTCCAAGCAGCTCAAATGTTGAATCATCGGACTGGCTGTAGCTGATACAGCTAAAATTTCGCTTCTTGGATTACTATTACCCATGAACGGCACCCCTTTTTGTTTTCCCAAATACAAAGGGGAAAAAAGCTGTTAAAGAGAACGCTTAATGGTCAGCACATGACCTGGACGTATACACGAGGTTGTTTTTGGTTGCGATTTGTCTCGGTTTGTGTGTTTTATTGTCTTTACCTTAATTCAGTGTGATCTTCTATGCACACCTTACTCTGTCCCTCCCAACCCACTATGTCTGTGCTGTTCCTTTACCATTCTTCATTGCTCCATTGCCAATCGGGAAGAGCTGAAATTTGTATTGGAAGCAGTTTAATTCCAGCTGCCAATACCCAGAAACAGCACTGCATTTGAGATATTTATATAAAACTAAAGCAACGAGGTCAGTGTCTTTCAATCAGTGCCACAACTGCTGCCAAGATTTCTTCTCTTTAAATGATATTCATTAGGTCATGAAAAACTGAGAGGCTCAGTGAAGCGCTTTTTAATGCCAGTGATTTCCCTCAGTCCTGGAATCACTGCACAGTTCTCCTGAATGAAAAATCCAAATCTTGGCCTTGAGCTTCAACCCTGAGATACCAGCTGATCTATGGATCTCTGTTTAACAGTTAACACCCACCCACCCATCAGCCTGATCCACACACACACACACACACACACACACACACACACACACACACACACTAGAGCTGAAAAGCCTCCTGGCATCCACATGCTCATGATATATGAACAAAAGGCACTGAGACAGCATTTTTCCTTAGTTTTCTTTCACTTCTCTGTAGAGGATGTTGCAACAATCTGATGTAATCTCAGCAAACATGGATTGTGTCACAGTGAATGCAAACTCCAAGGACCCTCTCCTGTTTACGCATATGTATTCAAGCCCCCTCCCCAACCGAGAGATCTCTATAATTACTTTGAGCAGATTAGCAAGTGACATGACTGTCACCCACAATTTCCGCTTGCCTGACTGTCTTTTGCACACAGAGACCTGCATGTGACAGGTTTCCTGTCAACCCATAAATGCACACAACCATGAAACTCAAACAGGATAACTGGCTGGATTACACAGAAAGCTGTAAATAAAACCCCGCTTTTACATCTTGAAAGCCATCCAGTGCTCACATTTTGGTCTCTATCCTAATCTGTAATCTGAGATTACATCTAACCTAACAGATTATATCTCTCCATCTGGACGTTTGTGTAGACGGGGGCACAAATGTCTGAAACAAGGCTCTGTACAGTGCAGGACTGTTTTCTAAGCGTGGTGCTTCTAGCCAGCGATACCAGTTTGCTCTGCATAAAAGTGTCTTTGTTTGCCTGTGGGTTACAGTTTGGTGACAAGAGTGATGCTAATCTAGAACACCGTTACTACCCTATATCACAAGAAATACATACCAGGGCAAAAAGTTGCTGTTCTATAAATCCACCATGAGGAAATGACTGTGAGATAAACAGGATAACTAGAAAAAACATGGAAAACAGCCACAGCCTGCACATTTACATATAAATACACACATAAACACAGGGGCTGAGAAAGGAGGAACTAACGTCACCCACAAGATCTTATTTATAGAGACTCTGAGCAGTGACACAAAAACAATGGGCAGACTGTGCCGAGAACATGGATAAATAGCACTTGACAGGAAATGCAAACGAATGAGTATGACACCAAGGCCATTTAATGGCACCTGGTCATTAGTTAAAGCAGATGTAAGAAGCTTATTTCCATAGAGCATGCTCTAAAAGGGAAGCAGTGTGGCAAGTACAAACGTTCCACTGCTGTGCTTTTGCATACCATGAAACTAATTTCATTTCAATACTGTTA